AAAAACCGCTGGTGTTCGTCTGTCCATTCGAACTTTACGGCGTCCTTCGTGAGGTGCGTCAGCGGTTGCGGACAGCTTGGCGAAGTCCCGAACAAATCGTCTGTAGTAGGCACAAAGTCCGAGGAATCTCCTCACGGCCTTCTTGTCAGACGGCGGCGTGAATGCAGCTACGGCGCGGGTCTTTTCGGGGTCTGGGAGAACACCTTTGTTGCTCACGACGTGGCCAAGGAACTTAAGTTCACCATAGGCAAATCGACACTTTGTTGGCTTGAGTGACAAGCCGGCGGTCTTGATGGCTTGAAGCACGGCTCGAAGTCGTTTCAGGTACCACGACGTCGTCGAGGTAGACGAGGCAGCTCTGCCATTTCAGACCTGCCAGCACGGTGTCCATGACACGCTGGAAGGTGGCTGGCGCAGTACAAAGCCCGAATGGCATCACTTTGAATTCGTACAGTCCGTCGGGAGTGACGAAGGCAGTTTTCTCCCGATCGCGTTCGTCGACTTCAATCTGCCAGTAGCCACTCTTCAGATCCATCGACCAAAAATATCGTGAGTGGCGCAGTCGGTCTAACGCACTGACCTCAATGTCAATTGCTGGATCGCGTTTGCCCGCTCTGCGAATGCGGTCACTGGTGGCCATCTTTAGGTAGAGTTATATTACCTCTAGCCAAGGTATAGCTCCTGCAGCCACTGTAATCCATCCATGGCAGACAGCGTTTTGGCAGGTGTGGTGGCAGGCTGCCGTCAAAATAGGGTGGATGATATTTCGTGCTTGATTGAAATTTTTTGACGAAACATGTTTTTGAAACCCAGCGTGAACGGTAGCGCGATCTTTGGGGACCCGGTGAAAGTTTTACGAAATTGCAGCACCGGGGGAAAAGCAGCACAGCTCGCATCGAAAGTCGCATCGAAGGAAGCATCGAAAGCAGACGCCGTTACGGAGTCTGCTTTCGATGCGAGCTGCGCTGCTTTTCCCCGGTGCTTCGCTTTCGTAGAACTTTCTCCGGGTCCTCAAAGATGAGGCTACCGTTCACGCCGGGTTTCAAGAATCTGCGTCGTCGAACAACTTGAATCAAGCTCGAATTATCTCCCACGGTACAGTGTACTAGATCCACGGCTATTTTATGGCACCCGGCCGCCATTGCGCTGTCCGCCATATTACTATGATGGCTAGAGATGATATAACTCTACCTAAAGATGGCCGCCAGTGACCGCATTTCGGTCCATAGGCGGAGCTGGTCAAACGCGATCCAGCAAATAGACATAGAGATCAGTGGTCTAACGTATCGTCGATGCGGGGGAGCGTATAGACGTCCTTCTTCGTCACAGCGTTCAGTCGACGATAGTCCACGCAGAACCGCAGGGTTCCGTCCTTCTCCTTTACAAGGACGACTGGGGACGCCCGTGGACTTCTTGAGGGTTGAATGATGTCGTCGTCGAGCATTTCTTGGACTTGATCCTGAATCACCTACCTTTCCTTTAAGGAGACTCGATACGGCGACTGGTGGACAGGGAGCGCGTCGTCGTCGGTAATAACGCGATGTTTCGCCATTGGTGTTTGGCGAGCCTTCGACGACGTGGCAAAACAGTCACGGTATTCAGCGAGGAGATCAACCAGTTGCCGGCGCTTAGGAGCTGGGAGCTCGGGGTCAATGTCGATCGGCGGCGGCGGCGTGCTGTTCTGCTGTGACGACGAGGTTTCTTCGGAGATTGCGGTGACCACAGCTAGCGCCTGAAGCTCCTCAATGTGGCCCACAGTGGTACCCTTCGTTAAGTGCTGCGGCTCCTCTCGGAAGTTTGTCACAAGAACAGTTGCACGTCCCTCTTGGAGATCCGTTACGCCTCGTGCGACGCCAATTACTTTCTCAAGGAGCAGTTGGACGCTGCCTTCCAGAAGAGCTTCACCGTGCATTGCTGCGTCGGTTATTACGGTGACGAAAACACTCGACCGCGGCGGTAAGTTCACGTGGTCGGCGATAACTCGGATCGCGGTTGACGTCGTGTTGGTCTCCACCGGCGGTAAAACAGGTTTTCGCAGCGTGAGCTGGTTTGCCCCGAGGTCGATGACGGCGCCATACTCGCAGAGAAAGTCCATTCCGAGGATAACGTCCCTTGAACAGTCTTGCAGAACGACGAACTTCACAGGGCACGTCTCACCGTGGATGTCGACGCGAGCAGTGCATCTCCCGACTGGTGTGATGAGGTGCCCTCCGGCGGTTCGTATTTGTGGTCCATCCCACGGCGTGGTGACTTTTCGAAGGCGACGGGAGAGCCTCCCACTCCAGACCGAGTAGTCTGCTCCGGTGTCCACGAGTGCTGATGCGTCGTGCCCGTCAATGACGACGTTTGGGTTATTGGACACCGCTGCCGGGGCGTCGTTTCGGTCTCTGGTAGCGTTCGAGTGGGGGCCCTCCGACGTTCGTGGAGGACCCTAGCGTCGGTCGTCTTCGGCAACTCCACCTCCAGGGGTTGCCGCGCCTAGTTTTCCCAGCGAGGAGCGAGGGGGGACAGGCTTTCACGTCGGGGTCGGTGCATCGGCGAAGCTGGACGTCGCGGTGACGGCGACCGGAACTCTCGGCGGGATGCAGGCTCGGGGGACTGAGGTCGTCGCAGGTACTCGTCGATCTCGATAGGGCGTTCGTCATGACGGGGGCGCGGGTCGTTCGGGTGAAACCCGCGTAGCCCGAGTCCTCGGTATGGGCATCGGCGGTAGGTGTGGTCCGCTTCCCCGCAATGGAAGCACAGAGGGCGTCGGTCGGGCGTTCGCCACACGTCGGTCTTGCGGGGTGCGCGAGTCTTCCGGCCAGGTGTACTGGACCTGGTCGTCGTGGCGTCGGTCGTGCTGCGGAGCAGGAGACTGACGTCGGGGCGGCGTGACATAGGTGCGACGAGGAGGCGGTGGCCGTCGGGCCCCTGCGGCGTAACTCAACGTCGGTGGTTCCGGAGCGGTGCTGACAAGAACCTCAGGCTGCAGCGCTTGCTTGACTTCTTCCCTGACAATCTCGGCGATTGAGGGCGAAGCTGGGCTTGCGGCGGCAGGTAGAAGTTTCTTGATCTCCTCCCGGACGACACCTCGGATTATCTCGCGGATGTCCGTGGTGTTGCAGCCGGAAGGCGAGAAGGAACCGACGCCGGGAACTCGGTGATAGTGGGCGGCTCGTGCTTGTAGGGCACGTTCGATGTTGGTGGCCTCCTTCATGAAGCCTTCGACGGTGGTAGGCGGGCTCCGCACAAGACCACCGAAAATGTTTTCCTTGACGCCGCGCATCAAGAATCTGAGCTTCTTTGCTTCGGGTGCTTCGGGATCGGCACGGTTGCTCAGTCGCAGGATATCTTCCACGAAGCTAACGACCCTCTCGTTAGGGCCTTGAATCCTCGCTTGAAGAAGCTCTTCCGCTCGTTCCCTTCGTTGTTGGTTTGTGAACGTTCTTCGAAACTCATCCTTGAGTTGCTCCCAGGAAGTGATCGAAGATTCGTGGTTCTCGAACCAGTTCCGGGCGGTGGCTTCCAAGGCGAAGTAAGCGTTCTGCAGACACTGTTCCGGTGTCCACCCGTTATGACGGGCCACTCGTTCGTACTGTTGGACCCAGTCGTCGATGTCTTCGTGGCTTTCGCCGTGGAAGGGAGCCGGTGTCCGAGGAGCGACGGGTAGGTAGACGACGGCAGGAGCGGCGGGGGCCTGCGACTGGTTGGCCATCGTCGTCTTCTTCGGCTTGGGTTTGTCCAGCAGCAAACCGTACTCCGGATCCTCTCCCTGGGTGCGGCGGCTTGTCCGAGTTTAAGGTTCCACGCTGAGTGGTCTTCTCACCGAGCTTGAAGTCTTGCTTGCACTGCGGGTCCTGGGAGGGGAACGCTGCACGGGCATGCGGTACCCCGCACCTCCACCAAAATGTCACGGGTGGTGACCAATAAACAATAAATAAACAGAAAGAAGTAAACCTTTAATGTGGCGAATTTGTGCCAAAATTAAAAGAGTACAAAGATAATAACAGAGCGTCGCGGGCGTCGAAGTCGGCGTAGCAGCACAGTCGAACGCTGGGGCGAAACTGACTCCGGCTTGCCACGCGGAGCCGCTTTTGTACACGCGTTGGCTTCTGGAGCATTCGACGTAGAAGGTTCGACGCGTAGGACATTCTAAACTCGAATCAGCTAGACGGTTCTCGAATTCACCAGAACATCTCATTACAACAAAATGCGTAGCCGCGGCCAGGAATCGAACCCTGGCCCTTCGCGTGGGAGGCAAGCGCGATAACCGTTAGGCTACGGCCGCTCTGCCTACTTGGCGCGCGGCAATATTCCCAAAAACGTTTTTTTGTGTAGTTTAATGGTGACGTTGTCCGATCCTATCTGAGGAAGGTGAGGGTAACTTAAAACCAAGAAAAGCACCATTACTAGTAAGGTTTTTTTTTTTTTAATAGCTGTGCGTTTTATGTGCTTTGTGTATAATTTAATTTACAATAGTAGTTGTATTATGGTAAACACTTTGACATTAATGTCGAGAGTTGGGCTAGCTGGTATTCGTTGATCATAATGTAAAAACAGCGCAAACAAACGCGGACGAAGGAGAAGAAACACGCAGACCGGACAAGCGCTTTGACATGTATATTGTCATTTATATACATCATCCAATAAACAAAATAATATAACCTCTGCTATGGATGGGGCCATGATTAAGTTGTCAAGCTTCAAGTTGAAGCTTTCCTCCTCTTGATCTGTAATATTTTGAAATATAAATTAGCAAAAATGCATTCCACATAGAGTGCAGAAATGTATGCGCGATATGGGGGGGGGGGGGGGGGTGTTTGAATTGATTTGTGCGTTTTTCTGCGGGTGGAACGATGGTATTGTCAGTTTGCGTTCATTTGTACATGAGGTTCTTATGTATTTAAGCTGGCTTCGGTTGATTTTGCTGTCATATATGCTTTTTAGGGTGTTTGTGGTTTAATATAAATAACATAATCCTATAGGATACGACACATGTTCGTTTTCTTTTCCTGCAGACGTATTGCCAAGGAAAGACCTCGACGACTTTAAAAAGGCTTTCGCAAATAAAGGTTTTACTGATTGGCCGCAGAAAAAAAGTGAAAAGCTACCTATGACAACTCGTAATATTATCAAACGCTACGGGTGGTTTGGTCTTTTTGGAATTGACGTCTCCGTCAATGTCTTCCAAGTGACTAGGCACGCAATCGTTGTGAGTGTTTGCATTATCTTTTCTTCTTTAGTAACTTTTATTTTTAACATTCAAAACATTATTCAAATGCCATATAAAAACGTATACCTATAAGTATACGAACTAAGATGAATTTGCCAAGACTGTTCATACAGCTAAACAAATACCCTTGTAACCTCCGCCCCGAATCTATAAACAAACCTGAATGATTTTTGAAGTACAGGGGGAACAGCGCACCATCAAAACAGTCCTCAAGTCAACACACACACAAAAGAAGGAGACAATTACGCAGCGCTCCGTTGTGTGTGTGTGTGGACTTGTGTGTGTGTTGAGTTGTGTGACTGTTTTGTGGGTACGCTGCTCCCCCTGTATATTATGAGCAACCAGCTCGCCCGAACATCTGTGTTAACGATATTTGAAGAATCCGCATTCATCAACCGTCTACCTATTACCTTGAATGATATCGAGTCTGCCGTTTCTTCAAACAATGCTTTTTGTTCAGTCGTTACGCCAAAGCGGAGAGTCTTTCTTATTTCTTTATTCTTTCTTTTCGCCATTGACCGGGAAGTGGGCAGAGACTAAAGGCGTGATGTCTGACGAGGTCTCTGTCCCCTTTACAGTTCTAACACAGCAGTGTAGGGTACAAACATTTTTGAACACGAAAAATAGAGAATAAAAAACCTATAAAATTTTATACAACCAGAAACAAAACAAAAAAACAGGTTCAATCAATTATCACACGATGTTTTTCAACAAAGAATGATAGAATCAAATTAGACAGAAATATTTTAACGCATTAAAAGGGAAATATGGGCATAATTTAATACGTATAGAATACACGCTTATTAAACACACTGTCACTGCCTACCAGAAGTGTCGTCTGTTTTCATTTACTTGGAGTATATTCAAGTTAAAATATAGTAGATCTGTATTGATCAGGAATTTTGGAGATTTGGAAGTTGATCATACTGACCGCGTCAGCCAGTCGCAAGCCGCCTCTCTCGGAAAGGCGGCTTGCGACTGGCTTAAAGGGATTGTCCGGTCGAAACCGGAAGTACTTAAGTTTTTGCGCTCGTTACGTCGAGGGAGCCTTCATGTAGACAAACAACATTTTTATTTTGATATATGATCTCCCGTTATTAACTAAACCTTTCATGAGCGTATGTACAAAACTGCACCCCGAATTTCGCCGGTGTCAATGGCTGACATCCGTAGCTGCTGCGTGACGTCACAAAACGCAAAGGTTTGTCGGATGGTCGGGATAACACGCGTTGGTGAATGGATGTCTTGTATTTTGTTTCGAATTATATAGTCTCCTAGGCCAGTGGTTCTCAAAGGGGGGTCCGCGAAGGCCTTCTAGGGGTCCGCGAAGCCATGCCTCATCAGTCAAACCCGGCAATAAAAGTTGTCTTTTTCTTTTTCTCAGCTCAAAAAGAAATGTTTTAGTTTTCGGGCGAGTTTTTTTCGTTTGAACGTCAATAAGAGAGGTCTGCTTCACACTAGCCCTTAGTTATGTCCATTTATTAAATGATTATTATAGTTAACCTATACCTTTCCTCTCCTCTCACCACGAACGGGGTCCTCCATCATCTCCGCCGATGCAAAAGGGGCCCGCAAAACATCGATGGTTGAGAACCACTGTGCTAGGCTGTACCCTACTGACATAAGGTTCTTTTATTGCAGTTCCCAAGCGTGTGCAAAAAAAGGCACACCTTTTAGCAGGATATTACTCGAAAACAGCCCTAAGCTTTCGAGCAAACGCATGCGTTTCGCGCAAACACAACTGCGACGGCCACCGATCGAATTAGGCGCGCTTGCAAAGCAAATTAGGATGCAGATTTTGCCTCTGAAGCGGCAACTAGGTACACGAAGCAGTATCGGGGTACACATATCGGCGGATCCACTGGATCGGTGATGAGGCTGCGGGTCTTTCCCTCAGAGGTGATGACCACGTGTCGAAGGCAACCGGCAACTCATTCAAATGCATGTCGTCGCTTGGCTTGGACGAGCTTGGTGAATTGTAGCCACGCTCTATTTGCACATGCGGGTCAAACAGAATTTGGATGCACGCCTGCTAAATACAACTTTTCGGTATCGTTTACAGGTGGTCTAGCTTTGGTTTTGGTTTCGCTGCATAAACAAATTGATTGATCCGATTTGGACGAGGAGTGGATGGACGTAGTTTAATATCGTTGGCACAGCATCACACCTCAGCTTACGAGCCTTCTGTCCGCTTAGAGCTCAGCTCGTAGCTCTCTTCTCTGAGATGATTGCCGCATGCGCGGGATCTCGATTTTGACGGGAACCCAGTCCCTACGCACGGCGACGATCCATTGTGCTCGTCACTGCACGTCTCGCGGAAAAGTGTGGAACGTCATCTCTTGGCTCACATGTGCTGCACGGTGTTTGTGGCACTCAACCGGGCAACCAAAATCTCACCCAACCACAGAACAAGTCGAGCACAAGAACAAAAACGAAGCACGCTGAGGCGTTCACTCGCAGGTAAACGACGAGACAGAAATGCTCGCTTTGTGTTGTGTGACGTCAGAGCTCCCATGTTGCCGCCGAAAAGAACGTTTACGCTAGAGTGCGATTGGAGCAGTTTAAAATCAATTACTCATGCAGAGAGGCATATGAAATTCAGATATTGCACGTACGATGCGTCTCGAGGCAATCACAATGATATTCAATTGTTTTCTCGAATACAAAATTTGACCAGACAGTCATTTAAAGAAACTATAAAATTCTATACAACCCAGAAAGAAAACAAAAAACATAATCAATCACTTACCACACGATGTTTTTTCAACAAAGGATGATAAAATCAAATTAGACAGAAATATTTTAACGCATTAAAAGGGAAGTATGGACATAATTTAATTTGTATTTTGAATATTTTGAAGGCTCATGAGGATGTTTTTGACGCCAACATCAGGGGGCACAGTGGTCCACCAGTAAACCTGCAACTAAAAGAGGGCGCTACTCCTCATTTCCTCAAATCACGACCCGTGCCGTTCGCACTACGTCCGGCGGTAGAGGCCGAGTTGAAAAGTCTTGAGAGCCAAGGTATTTTAGAACCAACACAGCATTCCGAGTGGGCTACACCTGTGCTGGTGGTCTGCAAGAAAGACGGGACCATTCGACTATGCGGAGACTATCGAAGTACAGTAAACAAGGAGACAAAAACAACCGTGTATCCTATGCCAACAATTCCAGGCGCCATTAAAAGCACACCTGGACGCTCCGCGGTGTCGTGGCTTGAGCTTCGCCCGGGATACATTACATCGCAGCGCAGTCGCTGAGCACTGCGAAGTCAAAGACCACCGGATTGACTTCGACAACACCAGCATTATCAACGCAGAGACTAACAACCGACATAGGCTTTTCATCGAGTCCTGGCATATTCAAACGACGTCAGGCAACATAAATAGGTACCTTGGTGCTTTACCAACAGTGTATGTGAACGGGCTTCGCCATATTCATGAAAGAAGAAGATCGAGAAATACGCTACATTCCTAAGAGAAGAAAAAGAAGACCGAAAAACGCCGCTCCTCAACGGCCACAGTCGCCCCTGACAAAGAACCGAGTTGGTTTGAAACGTAGGGCTCCTCCATGTTTAGGAATTGGTTGGTTGCCATATTTTGATTGTTACAATTTATAGACGCTTTACACACGCGCCAAATTATAGCCGCCATTGCTGACCTTCTCTCGTCTTACTGAGATGCCGAGCAACTGAAACGGTAGTTGACGATCCTCTACAGAGGCCGATGCTTTAGGAAAGGACACAGTTGAATCTAATATGGCAATAACCTGGCCTGCTATGGTAATGATGAAGTGAAATAAACGAAATAAGAGGAAACAAAAACTGAAGGTCAGTTATGGCGGCGTCCATGCACAGCTGCTGCAAAGCGTCTATAATAAGTATAGAATACACGCATATTAAACACACTGTCACTGCCTACCAGAAGTGTCGTCCGTTTTTCAGTTACTTGGAGTATATTGCAGTTAAAATCTATTAGATCTGTATTGTTCAGAATTTTGGATATTTGGAAGTTGATTATATTGACCGCGTCAGCCAGTCGCAAGCCGCCCCTCTTGGAAATGCGGCTTGCGACAGGCTTAAGCGCGCCCGCCGTCACGGCGCCGATGCCTCCACTGGATTCTGTGCTCCGGACTTTTTCGTTCAGAAGGGGTGGGGCACGAACTTTGATTACGTTTTTAGTAGGAAAATGGACGTCGCACGAACATAATTTTTCAATTTCTGGGATGCTAAGATCCCGTAGAATGAGTTATCTAAGAACAGAGGATCTCAGAAACATCTTTAGCGCCCCTATAAGTGGCGGACTCATGTCTTCATGGCTGCCTTCACTATGATGCGAACCATCTCTCTGCGACGTTTTGTTTCTGACAGCTGTAATATTTCAAGGCAGCTCTCCGGGCTCCAGGCGTCTTTCTTAGTGGTAACATTAAGTTATCCCCCCAATCGGGGTTCGTGTGTGAGCTTTGTATCTGAGTGCTTACACTGGGGTGATGGTGTGGAACCCCTTGAGTGTGGTCGTAACGCTTCACGAGTAGAAAGTAGGTCGTTCTCCTGTAAGGGTGGATACGAATATTAACGAGAATAATACAGGGTATCTTTATTTGGTATACAATTTACTGCAGAGTTTCAGACACGATTTTCTGCCTTCCTGTTTACGCTATTTGTAGAATCGTCCTCTCAATGTAGAGCATGCCCGCTTCTCCCCCCCCCCCCCTTTCCCAAATAATGAAGGATTTTTTTTTTACCAAAGCATAACGGATCTTAAACCGAACGCTTAGTGTCCACCCAAATTTATCGCTAGCGGATTTGTCTTGTTGTTCATGTTCTCTTACCTTTTTATTTCTTTCTAATAACCGCGAAACATTTCACAGTCACTTGGCCACGCATAAAACTAGTTGAAATTTTCACTCGTCCTTGTCCACTCCTTCGTGTTTGTCCTCTGTGTTTCAGCATACAAGTTTACTCAGTACCTTGAACCAACTAGCCAAACGACAAGTCTTGTTAATCTAGAGAATAATTACGTTGTCGTCGTTTCTGGCGGTGACGCTGGACCAAACGACCGCTACCTTGAGCCTTGAAAATCATAATTCCAATGTCGCCACGATCACTGACTCATGACCATGCCTGTGCTTAAGGTCGACGTTCGCGCATTTACCTTCATACAGGTCCTGCCTGTGTCAAAAATATACATTTTTGCACCTTAAAGGCGGACGACCGAACCCGATATTCTGCAAGGTTTTTCTCCTCCCACGTCTTCGAGTGAGGGAACGAAGGATGGAAAGAAGAGACTAAAGAAGTCGAGCATGAGTCCGCGCGCGCCGTTCGGATGTTGGGGTGATTCACTGTGCGAACACATGAATGGAGATAGGCCAACAAAAAGGGCACCCCCACAATGAACACGTCATGATCTGCGTGCGTGGGGTTTAGCGAAGGAACCTTCCAGGACCAGAAAAGCAAAGTATGAGGAGGGAACAAGAACCAACTTTGGGTTTCTTGCATTGTGCGGTACGTCTTCGCTGGGTGCTTCTTTGGTCGGTGTAATTTTTAATCTGCGTGAATTGACGTTCTTCCTTTCTAAATAAAAGCTGCCCCCTGTCGGAAGCCTGGGTCGGAATGCATCGGAATGAAACTTTGAGGGTCACAAAGAAGTACGACTGAAGAAGCTGCTTTGTACCAACTTTGAGGCGAAGGATAAGGCATAGATAAGCCACAATGCGTACAAAGGAAATTGTGAGGGGAACCCAATCATTCGTAGGCAACTGCATCTAGGTAGCAGAAACTAACTCCCCTTCTCGGGAGGCCGTGGCTTATTTCGTTCGAACACGCAATCACACGTTTTCATACTCATAACTCTAGAACCAGCGTCTGCGTGGTGCTGCTAATGCGCAGACGATATTTTCCAAAATAGTTCATATCTCGTCGATAAAACAAAATTAAGCCATAAAAAGCAAAAACTCCGCTTTCAATCAAGTCAAGCAACGCCCCCCCCCCCCCCCCCCCTCCAAAAAAGAAAAGAGAAGAATTTGTTTATGTGGAACAAATAAAGAAATACCAGTGCCCGGCACGCTGACTAAAAACCTGCACTGAAGCCAACGGCATTGTAGCTCACGGACTCAAGGCCGCTTGTCAATTATGTTGGGGTGACCCTTTTGCATCGAAATCCCTTTTATTTTTCTCTGCTTCCTTTCAGCTTCAGTCCGAGCGCGGCTGATGTTATGAGCCGAAGGGCCAATCAAACAGCGAAAAAGGCACAACGTCATGGCGTGCTCTCTGCAGTTGATAGGACCAGCCGCTATTCGCCGTCTCTCTGTGCGCGCTCCTCCGCCGGCTAGTCTTATCAAGCGCTGAGAGCACATTATGACGCTGCGCTTTTTGCGCTGTTTGATTGGCCCTTCGGCTCATAACATCGGCCGCGCTCGGACCGAAGCTAAAACGAAGTATAGTTGCACCTTATCGCTCAGCCGACATTTGCTTAGCGGAGCAGGGATAGGCCTCTGAGGTAGGGGACGAGGGGGTGGAAGGAGTGGAGGAGGAAACCGGCAACGATGGAAAGGGTAGAATGAGGGGGAGGAGGGAGCGAGAAAAAAGTGTAAAGCGCGAACTGGTCGTCAGACTTTACAGCGAAGCTGAAAAGTTTTTTTTTTTTTTTGTGTGTGTGAATTTGGATATCACAAGCCTTTCACCCGAACGAATAAATAGTAGTGATACAAAACTATCGAATATTTGACTATCGGTTAAATATTCGGTGCTATGGTGTCGATAGTGTCGATAAAAACTATCGATAGTGTCGAAAATTATCAATAAGTATTATCTATAGTGCAATCGATAGTCCTCTATCAATAGTACTTTTGATAGCTCACTATCGATAGCTGGCTCTCGGTTGCCTATCGATAATATCGAAAGTAAACATTCAGTGAACTATCAAGTGTTACGAAAATAAAAACACATTTCCAAAAGGTGATGAAGACAAATGTACAAGCTGCAATGCAATTCTCTCAGCACATCATGACATAAAAAGGAAACTAAACATTAAGTTGAATTTGCATAAAATCAATTTAGAGAAAAACCAGAAATGCCGTCTTTTTACATTTCTGTGCATATATTTTGTATATCCTGCGAGATCACAAATCAAGCTTCACACCTGTAAAAAAAATCAGTTCTTTTTTTTTTTTTTTTTTGATACGGAAACACTTGGTGAACATATTTAGCATAAGGATTTTTTACTAGTTTTGTTTTAAGCTGTCGATTCTTTTAGTTTCTGCGCCTCTTAGTAAAATACTGTGGATAGCTTTACTACGGTCGGCTATCGATAGCTTCACAATAGTCGACAATCGATAGTGTACTGTCGATAGTACTATCTATAGTCTTACGATAGTGGACCATATAATACAATCGATACTTTGTTTTCACGATCGATAGTTAGACTAGGTTTGCACTATCGATAGTATTGATAGTCCTATCGCTAGATTTGCACCACTAATCAATAGACGCGAGAACTATCAGAAGACCAACAGCTGGGTGTGACGTCAAGCCCAGACTTTTCAGTTGCCTTGCGTGTGCCGCTTGTGGGGGAACGCGTGCAGAGTTCTTGACTGCTCTAGCAAGGCTTGCAGAAAGCGGGGAAATGTTGAGATCTGTGTATAATACGTCCTAATTCCCTCGTCGCACCAAACCGATGGGAAGGAGAGACTTCGATGCTATTTCGAAAGCGCTGTTGTGGCTACTTGGAACATGAAACTGAAACATAATATTGATGTTCGTAAACCTGGAGGCCAAATAAAGACGTTTAAAGTGTTTTCCTTACATAGAGAACTCCTTCAGTTTCCCTTAAAATATTTAGCTGAAGTAACGCGCGTGCACCAGAGGCTAAAACAGCTGCCTTGCTGAAGCATACAAGCTTTCTTGACCTGTGTCATATCACGCAATACACGCACTGCTCTTTCTCCGCTTGCTTGCTATTGTAATTTTTCCAATATTCATCGTTTTTAGACACTATTGCACACTGTCACCTCACACCTACAACACGCTACGCTCGCATTTTTTTGGCCCTATTATCTACACCCTGCAAGTTTAACACCGTCGTTTAAAGACAGTCGCGTCTGCTCATCCCATATTTTATTGAGAAAACCAAACGTTGGAGCACCTGAATAGTTTGATAAAATACCCAATAGGTACTGAAATGGGTCTACACTTCCTCAGTCGCTTGTTCTCCTAGTGAAGGCAAATTGTCCGATTTTTGCGTCTTTATACTACACATGGCGTGTTTTTGTTTTTATTACAACCCCGGATTTCCTTTTTTATAAACCCCTCCAGACCAACTAGACGGCCTTTTGGCTGCCTTATTGCTCTTCACTTACATCCTCAACATCTTCACCCGTAAATGAGTAAATAACTAACAATAAATCGCGTCATTTCCCGTTAAAGTTTGTTACATATTTTTGTTTTAACTTTTTGTGTGCAGTTTGAGCGCATTTATTATAATTTTGCGATGTAGATCACACATATCAAGTGAAACCCCCTCTGCTTGGAACATTTGAGTTAAAATATGTTAAGAAATAAATAAAAACCAATAAATCGACATAATATATTTTCAGGACTTAGCATGTTGAAGGTAATAAATGAATGAGAAACAAACCAGAAAAGCGTCACACCAACAAATGGGTGCCAGAGAAACTAAAACTGCCCTTCACATATTTCGTCTTGCAGTTCGTCTGCTTCCATTGCGCGCTTGAATTTATTTCTAAAACTTAGATACGCAAGTGATCGGGCATTACCTACATCTTTGGAGGCTGGATTCATCTTGTACTGTTCATAGATATCTGGTACAGACCAAAACTTACCAAAACTGACATAAGAAATAATGAAGTACCATACACTTAGAAAAGTTTCCCGAAGCGGGGTATGCGAAAACTTCTGTTAGTATTAAAGTCATGATGACAACACCTATATTTATTGCAACAGTAAGAGGTCATGTATAGTCAACTTTAGCGTGAACTGTTCTGATGGAACCCCAAAAAAAAACGGTCCATGTGACTAACACCTCAAAATGTATGATAAATATTATATTTTGATCAGCAGTTGGCGAAAACCTCTGAAGATGAAGGCTCGGCTTGTCGAACTTCGTTGTTTCACATGAATAGTTCTAAAAAATGCATTTTGGATGTCATCAAGGTCATAAATTTTTCAATAACGCAACCCAGAGAGTTCGCAGGAGTTTTCTGGGTAAAGTTTATAGGCGGAAAAACAAAACATATGTAAATCATATCCATAATTGTTATAAATATTATTCAATATGTAAATAAAATACTGCAAATTAGCGGCTTCACGAAAACACATATGCTATTCTTTCAGATATCTATCCTTGTATTGTAAAATATTGTGGCCTATCTACCGCATACAATTTATTCAACATAAGCTTACGAAAAACATTTTTTTTGTTGCAGATGAGTCTGCCGGTGTTTGAACCCTTAAGCTTAGAGCTACTTGAGGATCTTGAAGGGGCTGAGATTCAAGACTACAAAACGTTTATTGTTCAAGTGATTACGAAAATTAAGACTACTCTGTCGAACAAAGAAGCGCAAGAAATAGCTGATTCGATTTACGACTTTGAGATAGAACAAGTTCAAGTAAGTAGCAGGCGTGCTTTATACATAAAAAAATATTCGCGTTGTTTAGAAGTTAATTTTTTATTCATGTGACCTCAAGGTTGCGTCTACGCGCACTTGGAAAAATCGTAGTTACACATCCTAGCTCTAGGACACGATATTTTTACAAAAACAAGGACCATTTTATGCTAAAGTAAGATCCATTCCGTTGTGTGGACATGTTTTGAAACCTCATACAAAACTTTAATTGCAAACAAAAATAGGCGTGACACCTCTATGACCGTCCGTATTGAACACACCCTATATCATATTAGTTTACAAGCGTGGAAGACTTTCCTTTCTTACCTTAATTGTCACAGTAAAACAATCAGAGCCTTGAATTCACAACCAAGAATAGAACATATCGAAATACACCGGATGCGGCATGAAGATTGAAATAACACCGCATGCTCCACTGTTACATCACTCTTAACCGTGATGCACCTGCAGTGTTAAGAGTACGAACTCAAGGCCAGTCATTAGAGCCGAATGCTTTGTTCAACCAGAGCAAATAAAAAAATAAGTGGCCACGTCATTTTGTTTAGAGAGGAACTTTGTCACAATGCGGATAATTTAGACATGTTACGTAGTTTTTCTTTAATTAAGTGATAAATATTCTGCCGCTTGCCCATTACTTTTAGCATGCCCACTGAAAGTCCGTTTCTTCGTCTATAGGCGAGCAGATACCCGTCAAGTGATGTTGGAGAGACCACAGTGTCGAAGATTGACGAGGTCTTAAAATCGGTAAGATTAACAATAAGAAACATTGTAGCCTGCTCAACTTAATAATGGGAATTTTATCGTATGAAGGTAAAGATCTGACAGGAGTTTGTCTAGTTGGGGGCAATAATAATTAGAAAAGACGTCCAGCCTATACATTCCAATACTCCTACTTCGAAAATCTCTGCATTAAGCTCAAGACCCGAATTACCAGTGTTGCAACTAATCATCGACAAAGACAGTTTCTATTATCACTGCACATTCAAAATGAGCCTAAAAAAACACCAATAGGTCTCTTTGCGCTTTACCGTTTGCCTAAATCAGCAGACTTCGCGTCATCGTCAACACAAAAAGAAGTGCACCACCATCACAAAAGACAAAAAATAATAAATACTGCTCATGAACGAATATCGCCGCAGTCGCCCTTAAAAGTAAACTGAGTATACCCCAAAAAAGCTGTGTCTCTAATCCGGACATGGTTGGACATGCGTTTTAGATACCTTTTATTCGTCAAGTATGTCTAAGCACCACAAAAGTAATATTATTTTGTAGCCCGTTATTGTAGTTTTTGGGTTTTGAATTGCGGTGGGCGACGTTCATTGAAAGTGACTGAGTTGCATAAATTATTTTAAGAAAATGATTACGTTTTAACCCGCGTTCACCAGCCTTGCGCCTTGAGACATCCTGGTGCTTAGAGGTTTTGCATTTTCTGTTAACCTCAACGGTCTTCTTTCAGGACCTCAAACTCAAAGAGGCCATCACGTACCAGTTTAGGAATAAAAAAGTATCCCTTCGCGGAGAAGATGGCATTATTGTTTGGACACCCGGATATTACACATCAATTTTTGAGAGCATTGAAGAAAATGGAGCGTAAGAAAATATTTACACAAACTGTTATAGGGCTAGAGTGTCATACGAAAATAGGCCGAAATTGCTGCTGCCACCACACTGATTCTCTAAGAAATGCGTGAGCATTATGCGTTGCGGTTATATATGACAAAGCATGGTGAATGCAGCCTCTCAGCACTTTTCTGCAGAATGAATATACCGGAAACCCCCCTTCTCCCTAGTGCGAGCACTCAGTTCCCTTATATTCGTGTCCCACTAGAGCGACATACAGAAACAAAAGACGAAGACAAGCCTCAAACCAGAGTCTTTCGCGATTTGAGACGCTTTGTATAGTAACGGAGGCTACGCTCAAACACGAGCATCATGCACGCGAGGGTATCTTTGGCAGGCTTGCAATCGCTCGTGCTTACTTTGCGAGCACCGAACGACTAAACGCCTGCCAAAGGTACCATCACGAGCATGCTGCATGGGTTTGAGGCTTGTCACTGTCTTTTGTCTCTGCTGTCGCTCTAGTGGGACGCGGGCATTAGGGTGTGCATGAGGGACGTCCGTGTTCACAATGCGCGTAAACCGACAAAGCTATCTCTTTTTGCGTATTTATTCACCGCGAACGTGCCTTTAATCTAGCGGCGGATAGATCATACACATGAAAGGCACGTGCAACGTGAAGTCCGCCACATATGGCAGCGTTTTAATGCGATGTAAGCGGCGACTGAAGATCAAATCAATAGTGGCGCTGTCGTGAGTCTCCGTGCACGGCGCGGCAGGTCGAGTAACGGAACCGCAGCCCGTGTGCCTGCACACGCCTTTTGAAACAGGCGGCAAAACCTTCCGATGGCGTCCAAAGCGCGCACCCGCACCCCGCCCGCCATCTGTCCACGCTTGCAGAAGGTGATTCTTAGTGAGTTTCCACGGTCAGTGGGCCATCTCGTGGCGCCATCTTGTGGCATCGTTGCGAACTTTGGTTAGTTCAAACTAGTATAAGGTCAGCGCATGCACTAGGGCACTAATGCTAAACTATTCGGAACACTAAATAGACAACGGAAGTGAATAAGGGTAACGAATATGGCAACAGAAGCGAAACTTGTGGAACGGACTATTCCCGCTACATTTAGTGGTGAAATTTATAAATAATCGTTATACACTAATTAAAGGGATACTACAACGAAATTTCGGTGCTCATTTTTTGGTCTATATGTGTTCAAAAGACCAGTATCACATCGAACATACCAATATCTTGCTAAAAAAAGTCTCGAAAAGGAATTTTAAAACAAATTAAACGATTAACAAAGAGCACCTGGTGGATGTCGCTAACGCCTCGTTTGTAATGCTCGTCTAGGAACCTTGACAGCTAGTGACGGAGGTTGTCTCGCCTCCGGCCACGACGAGAGAAGGGGGGAAGGAGGAACTCCCCTCTTTCCGAGAATGCCTTTTGTGTGTCGCAGAAGTCGCTATTGTCCCCCTAGAAGATTATAGAAGATTAACCCGTCACTCAAAATTCGTACAAAAGCAGCCGCTTCGGTGGCTGGAACGACTAGGCCATCCTCTCGACGTCAGCCTCGCCGTACCTTTGCTCGTCTTGAGACGACCTACGTCACGATTGCGTTGGATGTCACGTGCTCTAAGCTGGGCCTTCTCCGAGAGCTTGCCAGAGTGGGCCGTTTATAACGAAAAATACAGCTACCAGGATCAAAATACAAACGTGCGATTGTCATTTATGGATATTGTGGATTATATTCAACCTATTTTTGAACACGACGGGAATATTTCAAATTTCGTTGAAGTATCCCTTTAATAGTCCCGATAAAGCGTATGGGTAATAGTCCCCCCCCCCCCCCCTCCAAGTTCATAGCACCGAAGTCACGCACGTCATGAGCATGACTTTGGTTAGATACGATATCAGCATGATCTTGCTACGCCACAATGTGGTACCTTGACGTCAGTGACGCCGACCACATGATCAAGTCAAGTGAGCTGACGTGATGTCAATGAGTGTCCAAACAGGATACTTCAGAACGCAAAAAGCGACACTTCACCGCCACTTGAAGTGAATGTTGAAGTCTGGCCGTCCGTCGTCTGTTTGGACATTTACCAGGCAAACATCACGAGATTTCCCCTCGCCTCCTAGGCTTTTCTGTGACGTCGGTGGCTGTCCATTTGCTCTGCCGCGCCCTCGTACTCTTCCCCTTCCCGCTTTCGGGATTAGACTTGAAAAACAGCAGAGGCCTTGAAATATTTACTGACGGCCAAAAGAGCGTGTGAGTGGCTGTCCAGACCCACCTGATGAACATGAACATGCTCTAGGCCTCCGTCAAGGACGGAAGCGGGCGTTGGCGTAAAAAGATCCCCCCCCCCCCCCCCCCGGACAAAAGAAAAAAGAACAATACAAACGGATGGAAGCGCATCCCCGCATTTCATATGACGGAGGAGTGTTGCTTAACGCGTTCTTGGAGTGTCTCGGTAGGGTTGACCTTCACACCTTTTGAACCGGTGACTCTTCAGAAAATTAATTGTATGGATGTATTCTAGATGAACAGCACGACAATATTCTTATTTGGGACTGCGAGCTGCAGTATGAAATCTCCAGGGCGCAGGGCCTTGCATGAGCTAACGTGTCCTGGTAAAAAATCTTAAATGTATTAGAAATTTTTATGTCCAATGAATGCATATGATCCAATAAGATTTTACAAGCACAAACAAGAACGTTATAAGAACATATAGTGTATGTGCTCGTATAATCTTATTTGATCATATGCGTTTATTGGACATAGACATTTCTCATACATGTAAGACTTTTTACCAGGACACGTTAATTCATGCAAGACCCTGGTCCCTGCAGATTTCGTGCTATAGCTCGCAGTCCCAAATAGGAATATTGTAAGCATGTACAATAACCTCATTAGAAAATATAAGGGGATCGGAGGCCGGATGGGCTAGCGCACACCAGCTCGAAGTACATGGAGCAAAACCTCACGCTGAAGAACCCAGGGATCCTGGGTTCAATCCCCACTCCTGCCCGTTTCGTACTGGATGAGCATCGTACCGACGTGCACGACCGCAGGCTAGCGGTTGTGCTGCACTGGCTAAATTTCCCATCTACAGCGAGTGACTCGTCGCAACTTTGGAATGGCTGACCAACTACACGCTGTATGAATATCCGCAGAACCTTAATTATTTTAATAACATATAAGAACAACATAAGGTTATATAAGGACTTAAAAGAAACTGATAAGAAGTTTCTTATAACTTCTTATGTAATCTTATATTTTTCTTATATGTTCTTATAACGTTTTGTGTGTACTTTTCTAATCTTATTTGATCATATGTGTCTATTGAACATAGAAATCTTTTATACATATCAAAATTTTTACTAGGGGACTTTATATGCATTTGGTACTGATGTGAATCTGTTATTTTATCCTTTCAGTTATATTTATCGTGTACCTAACATTCACAAAATTATCGCAAAATTAGCAAATAGTGTGTTTTATGAGCTGCATTTTATGGAAAACCATTATGATCAAGCACGTCATGCCGTTAGGTCGACCGTTGCACAAGTCATGTATGAAACATATAGGCCCATAGCATCGCGTGACGTCATGACATCATGTGACACTTTGTTGCGCGCCACACAATGAGGTCACGTATCCTGTGCAGTCACGTGAGAGCATAACGTTTATCAACGTCAGAGATGCTATAGCGTCAAGTGGCATCCTAACGTCATACGACATCATGGCGTCAAGTGACACCCGAAATCGCGCGACGTCACGGCGTCACGTGACGCCACAAAGTTCTGTGACGTCATATTGTTACGTCGCGTTATTATGCCTTGATGACAGGATGCCACCTGACGTTTCAGAAAATGTAACCTCATCTGTGATCTGCCAGCCGCGCTGGCACATCACACACCACGGCTGAATGTGCCTTTAACAGATTTTGTGCTCGCCAGCTTTTGTCAGCATGATCAATCTTATGGAATTTAGTTTTATGTAAGCTAATTTTTGAACTACAGTTAGGAAAGGATAAACCAGGCGAATTGAAAAATAAGGAAACTAGTAGCTTGGTTTAAATCAGGACTGAACTCTCGACAATATTGCGATGTTAGTTCATTTATACGTTCACTGTAAATGCATCAAAATCGCTTGATCTGATATATTTTGCCTGAACATTTTTCTTCTATGAACAGCCTTAGGGCTGAACAATCATCTCGATCGTGGAAATACGCAGCGTAAGAAAGACGTAGTTTTTTTTAGCCAGAAACCACGGCAATAATGATGTTAACTTATTTTTATCGCCTACAGAGAACTTTAATTTTCAGAAGTAAATTTTCACAAACTAAGGCAAACGATTTTAACAATGCAGGGTAGACCTTTATAACCTTCTCGGGTGGAAGAGTGCCTGTCTTCTTATGAAATACTCAAGAGGAGATCTATTTGAGATGTACACCGGTCTCATGAAAACGGTAGACCCCTTATATAACCAGAGACCTATCGAAAACGTATGCGTCAGCGACCTTATGAAGAATATGAAATACGCTTTTGGCAGCATATATGTTGACAGATATTTCAGATCAGAAGAAATTAAAACAGAGGTGAGTATTTTAAGCATTCTTGATTTGCGGCTATTAGTTGTCTGCACAACCTCAGCGTAACGTATTTATCAGAAAGTATAAAGTGCGCCCAAATCAAATATTGAAACGGACTACACTGTATGCCGGTACATGTGGCTGTGCCCTCGGTTGTTCTGCATATGGCAAGAACCCTTTCATATCTGCGACGTAACATATTGCACTACTCATTATAGAGAGCATTAGTACCTATATATCGAGTGGCACTATTCAAAAAAAAAAAAAGATGTATATCATTTGCCCGACGGACATACCGCACCTTATGAAATAATAGAAGTAACAGTAAGGGCATATAAATTCTCATGTCAGGGAACGCGACAGAGCAGCACACGACAAAACAGCAAGCAAAAAGCGCCGAAAAAATACAGGGACACAGACGGAGGGAAACAGGACAAGGCGAAATCTCAACTGAAGTTTATTGAAAATTTACACGTTATATAGCCACAAACACCCTGTCTACTCTATCTACTCAGCCCGCGTTTCAAAAATTCAAACTCATTTGTAAATAAGGAGAGGGACGTGTCACTTATACATTTCTTCTCCCTGGTCCTAATTTCAAACGTCTCGTGTAATTCCCGCGACACTTTATCTTTGTACCTAGCCAAAATCTTAGTGTCATTGAAGGCCGGGGTGCACGAGCATCTATTACAATGAATTGCACGGTGTTCCGAAGGCGCCGTTCTTGTAGAGGCAGCGTGCTCGCGGGTGCGATCATTAGCGCACCTGCCTGTCTGGCCCACGTACGTCATCCCCCACGACATGGGAATTTCGTAGACGACGCCAGTGGCGCATTCGACGTACTTATTATGATGTTCAGCAGTGCACGGATCTGAAAACGGCTGTGGGGAATTTATCTGGTGACAAAGTCGAGCCATCTTATTGGGCGCTGAAGAAACTACCGGTACATTGTAGCGCTGGCTACCTTTTTTAGATTGTGCGTGACATTGTGCATATATGGAATGACAACAGGCCTCGAAGTCGGTCTATCGCTGTTTGATTTCTGATTACCTTTAATATTTTTTATTAAGCTTTCTGCCACTTAAGCCAAAGATCTCAGCAGAAAACCAGCAAAACTGCAATTCTTGGACCTCGAGCTATCGTTCTTGGGGGACCATGTTTGTTGGAAGTAGGCGCCTCGAACAAAGAAGGGCATCCTTCCTTCTGATTCCGCCCACTCGAAGGTTGTGAAAAGGAGCGTAGCCAGTTCGTGCCTGGGGGCTTCCCTCAGAAAGTCATGTTAGCACAGTGCGCAAGGCAGCTTCGAGGGTCAGATAGAACGCCTGCAGAGGGTTTGTTTTCCGCTAAGATCCTTGGTTGAAGTGGCAGAAATCTTAATAAAAAATACTAAAAGTAATCAGAAATCAAACAGCGATAGACCGACTTCGACGCCTGTTGTCATTCCATATATGCACAATGTCACGCACAATCTAAAAAAGGTAGCCAGCGCTACAATGTACCGGTAGTTTCTTCAGCGCCCAATAAGATGGCTCGACTTTGTCACCAGATAAATTCCCCACAGCCATTTTCAGATCCGTGCACTGCTAAACATCAAAATAAGTACGTCGAATGCTCCACTGGCGTCGTCTAGGAAATTCCGATGTCGTGTTGGATAACGTACGTGCACCAGACGGGCAGGTGCGCTAATGATCGCACCCGCGAGCACGCTGCCTCTACAAGAACGACGCCTTCGCGGCACCTTGCAATTCATTGCGATAGATGCTCGTGTTTTTTGGTTTTTTATGGCTATATAACGTGGGAACTTTCAATAAACTAAACTTCAGCTGAGAGTGCGCCTTGTCCTGTTTCCCTTCGTCTGTGTCCTGTATGTTTCCGGCGCTTTTTGCTTGCAATGAACCAAGTGGCCCAAATCTCCACTTTACGACAAAACAGCACGGGTCGAAACAGCATGGACAAAACAGCGCGCTTCAAAAAAGCACAGCGTCGAAACAGCACGGCGACAAAACAACACGCGTCAAAATAGCACGCGACAAAACAGCACGGCGTCAAAACGGCAAAGCGTCAGAAGAACACGTGCGAAAACATCACGGCGTCAAAACAGCACAGCGACAAAGCAGCACGCATTTAGCAACTTTGAGCTCGCACTTCACCTCTTCTTGTGCGAATATTTTCAAACCTCCTTGACCCTTTCATTTATTGTCGCTAGATTTTAAAGGAATTTATTACCTATTTCAGTGCTTACCAAACTCCACAACCTGGAGACCCTCCAAAACATAAAATATCGCGTCACGACCTCCTCTCGCGCTTTTCACGAATACCAGCGAAAGAGGAAAAGTTATAGGGAAAAAGAAATCCATAAGTTCAAATGACGAAGCGTCTGGTTTGCGGCGGTCCGGTGAGGTTCCGTAGAACTCGTAGTTTCGGAATTACTACCTAAGCGTAGAACGTCCCCCAAATCCCCCCCCCCCCCCCCAAAAAAAAAAAAAAAATTAAAAAAAGTAGGAGATGCGCCAATTACAGGTGCATTGATAGAACCGGTAAGACAAGGTGACTTTGGTGTCGAGCGTATTCAAGGTGTACCATGGGCACCGATTCTGCCGGGTTCATTCGCCGTGAGTTAAATGTCCCGGAAACACGCGGCTGCATCTTCCAGGCGAGAAGTTGTATTGAGTTAAATTTACAGATTATTGCCGACGAAGGCCTCAATCGACTGGAAACCGGTGAAACAGAAACATTATACAGCCTCAATGGTGTTGCCGTACAGCACGGGCTGAGCACACCGTTGCCGCACACGTTTTCTGTTGTTCTTCTTTTAGCAACTAACGACAACACATTTGCGTGTGCTGTCGTTAGTTGATTCACTTATTGTAGACGACATCACCAGCAAACTTGCGCGTCAATATTAGCGAAACTGCTCGAGAAATAGCCAGAATACGCACCAGCGGGTGCTTCAGTGCTGCCCAAGGAGCCTTCATGTGCCCATCGAGTATACTCCCCACTCGGAACTCGCTCCCGAGAGAACGGATTCAACAAATTGACCGTCGACGAGTTGGTCTTCAAGGAATCGGCCTAGACCCTCCATTTGTCCAAGAGTCAACGCCAAGGCGGAGGGAAGTCTAAGAAACAGATGTTCGAAAAAGCACCCCAAGCCGTTTGTGCCTTGTGCCACGGGTGTTGTTTACAACATACCACTATCCTGCGGCCGCTCCTACATTGGACGAACAGGACGCTGCCTAAACGACAGGCTCCGTGAGCACGACTATTCCCTCAGAGCCACGGTGGGTGGGAATTTTTCACTTCACTGCGAAGAATGTCTATGTGAACCGTCTTTTGGTGCCACCACAGTCATGGGAAAACACCGGGACAAAACAACCAGAGAGGTTCTGGAAGCTTTTTACATCCACAGTGGAACAGCAAGTTGCATCAGCACACCACCTGTCTCGTTGTCCAACAAAGAGGTAGAGTTTATGAAACTGACCATGAAGGCCCAGCGCGTGCCATAGCGACCACATATCATGGCACAGGTCACACGTGCGATTTATGGTGACCGAAATATTCTTCTTTCTCTTTTTCTTCAATTAAAATGTCTAGTTGCGAGTCAGCGCTCTGTTCTATCCGGTGCGTCTCTTCCCTTTTTGTCCTTTTGCGCTGTGTATTTGTCATTATGTATAACCCTCCATCACTTTACAGTGCCTACTTTGAGACATGCATTTTTTTAATTCCATACGCTATATTTAGGGTTCCGCGCTTTTGGCTTAAACCGAATAAAACCGGTAAAAGTAAGAATTCATTTTTGCAATAGATTTTAACTAAGAAAGGTCAGTTTTTTCGAGGGCGTTTTGAGGGGCAAGGGGATGTAACTCATTGCTGACCGTATGACAAGTTCCTTTCGCAGTTTCCAGCTTGTCTTCGAGATTGGTTCAACGTTCAACAAAAGCTCCGGCGGCACAGGAGTCTTCAGGACGAAAGCTTAGTTTTTCCCCCGACAGGGACTTGTGTACCGAATTATTTGTTCAAAGAAGAGAGTTTAATCGTGAACTAAACAATGAAAATCAAGGGCGTCCGCAAATGCCGCCCATTTTTAACGCCCCTAGCTTCCGTCTACTAGAGGAGAACATAAATGCGATTGTTTTATTGTCGCTTTTGTAATCGGCGCGAATTTACCACCTCCCGCAGTCGTGGAAATTGGGCAAAAACGCACTGAGTGCAATGCTTTCAAATTTTTAAAATTTTATATTCGCCCCTTCGACTGAAGTGGTAGGGAAGCTCATGTTCGCCATGTGTACAAATACGAGCACACGACGATAATGTGTAATCACGATAGGGCCCCAGTGCGTCCTGCGGAACAGAACGCGTCGGCGGACACAGACAGCAACAAATAAGAAAACCAGCACCTGGTTTACTCACTATACATTTTAAACAAACGCTTTTAAATATTTAATTTCCGTGAGTATACTGATTTTCATAAAAAAGACTAAAATAACCGAGAAGTTTTTGAGTCCACAAATATTCACCGCGATAAACCGAAAACTTCTTTTTGGAATAAAAACCGAAAAATACATCGAATTTCAAAATAATAAAAACCGAAAACGCCAAGCCCTATCTTTATTGTCAATGTCCTGTTTTGACGCTGTGCTGTTTAAACGCCGTGCTGTTTTGCCACGCGCTCTTCTGTCGCAGTAATGTTTGGACGCTGTGCTATTTTGCCGCGTGATATTTTGACGCGTGCTGTATTGTCGCCGTGCTGTTTTGACGCTGTGCTCTTTTAACGCGTGCTGTTTTGACCCTGCTGTTTTGTCGCGTGCTGTTTTGTCGTGTGCTGCTCTGTCATTGTGCATTTCCATGTGTTCTTCCATACTACTTGGACGAAGTAATATATTTATATGGATGATGTTACATGTATTGATGTTACATGCAATTCGCGCAATAACGGCAAACGTGTAGGCGTAGATTAAGGAGAGTATGACTTGCTAATGCAAAGCGATTCCAGCACTTTTAGCCTCACTCAACAATAATCCGACGTAGCACGAGAGCGCCCAAGCACGCCACGCTATTGGGCGCTTTCGGGAAGGCTTCCAGTAACATGGTAGTTTGGAACTTAGCGCACATGAGAGCCGCCTGCCAAATATATCGTCGCATGCATGCTACGCGTGTCTTGGGTTGATCACTGACCGCTGAGTCACTTTTCGTTCACGTGCGACGACGGTCTCATTAGTTTTGCAAAGGTGGCTAACAATCAATGCAGAATAATTTTAAGTAACCTTTCTGGTAGTTTAGTGCTTTGAACCAAATTTGGTCTTTGTCTGGGTGTTTTAGGGCCTTAAAAACTCGAAGAAGTCAAGGTAAAGCCATAACTGAAATTTTCTGGCCAGAGTCGGTGTATATTGGCCCTAATTCGCCAAACATCTCTATCGAAAAGGACCATTAGAAAATTTCTGATGGTCCATCAGGTTGATGGTCAGTCATATTTTGAGACATTGATGGCCTGATGGTCTGGTTGTGCGATGGTTTGATTGCTTGGTGGTTTGATGGTCTGATGGTATGTCGTATTTTGGGACATCTGACGGCTTAATGGTTTGGCAGTTTGTTGGTCTAATAGTCGGTATTAAGTTTAATCACGCGAATGTACCGGAAGAGCACAAAAATTGCATAGGAAAAAACTGAACTTCATTTCGTGCCCATCATATTTGTTTTAAGAAGGAGCACCAAAAGCTTTAGAATACCTTCCGAAATCCCTGTGGAAACCTGAAAACCAAGTTTATATCTTGGTTATGGTAGGTTATTCCTATTTATAAATAATTGAACGATGAATGATGTAACCGCAAAACCAAAACGAAAGAAAAAATGCGCTTAATCTATTCGCTATTTTAGAGACCCCACAACGTGCAAATTAGCTGACCTGTTGCGCTGCTTTCGACGCATTGCGTCCTCGTCGTCCATGCTGCGCACGACGGCGTTGTGCGAGACCGTGCAACATACCAAGCCTCGTCGGGTCAAGAATGCGGTAAGCCTGGTATCGCAGAATTCGCGGCTTTGTAAACGTTTTTACTCGAACAGATTTAGTTCACCCTACCCACCCGCCTAATAAATAAATTTCCGATTAAGCAAAATGCAATTTTCGGCATATTCTCTGCCACTTACATTGTAAACATGATCTACTTGGCATAAAAAGAGGGTCAACAAATTGTTTCATCAACGAACCAGAGCACAATTTAAAGCAAAACTATGGTTTCAAGATCCCACCTGCGTCTGAAGAAGGAACTTGTAGCCTTTTGAGTATCCTAGTACACTTTTTGAGGCGGATTAATGTGGATTGAACACTCCGCTATTGAGCCACGCGGATGTCAATTTTCCTCAGTGAATGTAATTCTCGCACAACGCCGTCGTGCGCAGCATGGATCATTAGCCAATTCTGGAACGTCCCGAAGATGGTCAGGTTCTTCCCTCTTCCTAAGGATGTTATGAGAAGCACCATCAGCCTTTTTGACGTTCTAATGGTCTTTCCCCGGGCAACCTCAAAACGTTTCGTTGATATTTTAGCGACCACCAGAAACGTTTTGACGGTCGGTGAGCTAGCGGCAGAAGTTTTATTGCTCCGTCAGCCACCATCAGATATTGTTTGATGGTTTACCCGAAACCATCAAGTAAGCCTGTCGGGCTATCATAGAAGACTGATGGGCCATCAAAATGTCTCTTGAGTCATCCAGAAGGTCTGTTGGGTCATCAAGACTGTGTGGTGGGTCGCCAAGAAGGTGTGATGGGCCATCAAGGAAGTATGATGGGCCGTCAACAAAGTTTCATGGATCATCCAATATTTATTACGGTCTCTTCGATTGGAAAGTGGCAATGTTAGGCTTCACTTTTGGTTGTCCATTTTTGCAAATTAGGTCCTAAGTTCCGAAGCAAGTGCAAGATTTAGTCTTCGCTGATGGTTCTTCGGTTTATACGTGCCATATTTCGCTCATGTCTGGCACTTTGGTGAATCATGTGGCGAGCCAGAGAAAAGCCAAGGAGACTCCAAAAAGCACTCTGGCATCAACTAACACCTTAAAGCAAAACTTATTAGGCACAAGTTAGGCTCCTAGGATTGCCAAGCTTGTGCCAAGTAATGCGTTTATTTAGTGCGCTACTTAGGTTTATACCATTTTACCTGACGAAGTGAGAACGGCAGCAAGGAATTTCAGTTGTCCCGGCTTCCTACCTTCGACATCTCTTGCACCTCAAGCGCTTGCGCGCAGCCAACACGCTGCCTATTTGGCTGCACGCCGTGCTTTCGCTATACATTACAAATAATCATGAATATGCCTTAAACAAGGATGAAACAGCTAAATAATGTTATGAGCATTTATGACAAGCTACGAGTATTTGGGTACGAATATTCTACAACGGATAGCACAATTCGAAATATAACCGGCCAAATGTTACCTCCGCTAGCTTTTTTCAAATAAGCAAAGAGCGAGAAAAAAAATATAAGAAAACATTTTGGCCCAATTTGTTTGGTGGGTACGAATAAAAACGTCAATTACTCAGGGTGCCCATAACGTATAGTGCTCTAAACCTCCCCCACCCCCGTCCACTCATTTGTTTGCACCATCGAATCAGTGAAAATATTCGTACTATGTTTCTAACTCGCTATACTAAGTGCGCATTACACCCTCGTTTGCACGTCCTCCATCTAAACCGTTATTTTACACATACTACAGCTTGAGAGTATACACTACTCAGGTGTACAATAAGTATCCTTTAAATATACCATTAGGGTTCTCCATTTGAAATATGGCAGTGCCTAGATGTTCCATAACTTATAACCACTGGAATATGTTTAGCTATTCTAACATTGCCAAACATTATGCAGCATGGAAAGAAAAATGTCACATTGTGTGTCGTTAACCTTTTGTTTTCCGGTTTGATCTTACGAATCGGGTTTACCGGACGAAAAGAAAGGGATCATATATTCTTATGTTCTGGAATGCATTGAGATAACTGCTCGGAACACTATAAAATATTGGATGCTAAAGCCATTCTAGATTAAATTTAATGTTTTTCATGTTATTTTTATTAACAATTTTTATATATTTATTACTCTATTCCCCTCTATCCTTCGTCCGTAAAATCCTTAGTCTCACAAACTGCGCAAAATTATATAATTAATTCATAGACAATCTGGTTAATTAATATTAACCAGAATTAATCACACAAACGGCATATTGGGCTTGTAGGTGAGAGAAATTAGTGACAAAGTAAAAGCGTCTATTGAAAAAATGATTAAAAAGAAGAGCTGGATCGACGCAACAACACAAGCGGAAGCTCTAAAAAAGGTGGGTAAAATGTGTTCGTTCGATTAGCAAAACTGAAAAATGCGAGCGCCTATTTTTATGTCCCTCTTTTACAGGTACTCTACATGCATAGCATGGTTGGTTACCCTAATTGGGTTAGAGATAAAGTTAAGGTTGAACAGCTATTTAAACACGTGAGTAGCTTATGGGAGCTATATCCTTTACGTTTTCACCATAGCGCACAGTCAGCCAGAGTTACATAATAAAGTTTTGTGTCTTCGAAATTCTGTTTATGCTGCAAACATGTAACATACTCTTAGGAAACTTTCTGTACAAAATAATTAATGTTGCCTTTTAACAGGCTGTCTCGGTATTTCTACCCCGTAGGTTAAAAGCTTCAATTTAAAAATGAGTTACATTGAAATATCTATGCTTCTCATCTCAAACAATTTGCGTGTGAACTACGAAAAAATAAAGCTTCCGGTGCAATCGGATGAAGAGTAAGTATACGAAGTCTTAGACTGAAACTTATTTATAAAAATGTTCGATTTGTTTCAATTGGGATTAACTTCACATGAATAGCATATTTACTAAATATATTCGGCCGAATTTGCATATAATGGAAGCGTGATTGACAACTTTAGTCATGGAATTTACAACACGTTTCATTTATTCAATTTTCATGCTATAAATGACTACAAAATAAAAAGCAGGGAGTCTTGTGAAATAGTTTATATGACTGTTTAGCTACGGTTATAGTACCAAGTTTAACAAATGTTTTTTTTTTTTTTTTCAAATGTACGCAGGGTTCACACATTTCACACGCGTTGCGCCCTGCTTAAATCATTTCTAAACAATTGTTATATTACTATTATTAGGAAAGGGGCCATAGTTGAAGATTTGAATGTAGCATTATATGTATTTGTATAAGTTTTTTCGTACCCGTAAGACTTTGTTTCCAGAAATCACGAACAATGAAGTGGAAATAAATCAGTAGACTTTGAGTTTTTGCTCGATATATAAATTTTACAAATCTCATAACAAAAGTGATCGCACTTTAATTAACTTTTATGTATAATTTGATGTTTGCTTAAGTAGAGCACACTCATAATGGCTATTTCAGATGGGACAGAGATTTCGCTGACGTTAATGGGCAGTACAAGCCCCAGACAAATTCTTTTGGTAAGTCCAGCGAAATAAACCAAATTATCAATGGCCATGCAGTTTTTGGGCACGTGATATGAAATGTGATTTAGAAACATGTTCCACACAAATACATGTCATTTTAGGCACAAAATTCACAATAACAACAGTTGGGCACTTAATATAAATATATTCCTAAAGTAATTAAGATATACCGACTAGACACATAACTAGTATTTCTTATATTGCATTCCAGTTGGATATGTGTACATTTTAGGGGAGGTGCCTGCGTTAGCTTCGTTTGTGCTGGAATTATAGTGCGGAAGTTTCTTAATTCCTGATCGAGATTATATCACACTTTCTAGCTCTGTATGCCGGATTAATTCAGGAGCCGCTCTACATACAAGGTGCTCCCATGTGAGTACAAATAAACAAATATTTATGGTTAATATCGTTGCTAGTCGTTCTTTGCTGGGACAGCACATCTGTTTTGCTGCAGTGTTTTAGGAGCCACTGACCTATCAAGAATGTTACAAAACTGTGTCTTGGCGATAAGCAGTCAAAACTTAATTGATATAATGTCAAATGTTTACGTCAGCCTTTTCCTACAAGATGAATTGAGACAGACTTTATTGGCGTTTGCACCGGTTAATACACTTCTTTATAATTTTCTCTAGAGCTGTGAATGTAGGTTCCGTCGGATGGTTTTCAGGACATGAACTCACTCACGCATTTGACACTATTGGTATGTATTTTTAGTACACTTTGTAGTACGCATCAAAAGGTTTCTAACATCTCAAAATGAGCCTTACCATCTTTTTGATTGATATTTGATGTAAACCTTCTAATCGGGAGAGCTCTAATTTCTGTAAATTAAGGCGTCATTTTTTGCCTATTTTTTAATGTAAAAACAAATATGATGGGAATATACAGGGTGTTACTTTCTTTACTTTACAAAATCCTAAAGTCTGCATTGCACAATAAAAAAAAATGTTTATGTCGTATTGGACTCCCTTCCAAAGGACTGAGGAAAAGTAATAGTGTCAGGGTTAAAAAACGGAACAAGAAAAAAAAAGATAAAGATAAGAGGTACGGGTGTGTCCGCAGGGGGCGATTCAGGGGGGGGGCGGGGAGGGGTCCGGATGTCCTGACCCCCTCTTGAATTCTGCATGTGTAAATATTTAGGGCGTGGAAGCGGCAAAAGGGGAGGGGGCCCTTAAGCATATGATACACTGACCAACACCTGACCCCCTCCCCCCCCCCCCCCTTCAAGAAATACCTGCGTCCAGCCCTGTGTGTGCGAGAGGTTTTTGCTGGACTAGACGGTTCGACTTCGGCTCAGCCCCTAAGGGAGTGCACAGGTGGCTGGCCTCGCCCCAGCCCCACAGGGAAAATCTGGAACAATACTGCCCGAAAGCCAACGTTCCGAGGGAAGCCCGTCGGCGATCCGCTACCACGGCGACGTGACTCAAGGACTCGACAAAAGACATCCGTCGTTTGTCGAGAGTGGACATGCTTCTCCGGAGCTCTCGATTCCTCGCGCCAGGAGCAATGTCGAAGGGAGGGCGGCGTCGCCGGCGCCCACCGGACAGGATTCAGCGGAACCTTTTGACGGCGACTACAGGATGCAGCTGCCCCAACTCCCGCGTGGAAGGCGGCTGGATACGACGGTGTTTCTGCACGGCGACCTGCGCAGGAGGCCGTACCGGACCAGGTCGCCGAGGCGCTGAAGGAGTCCGTGGGTATGAAGCACGGGGTGGAACTGGGAACCTTCAAATACAACCACGTGCTGATTTGCATACCCGACAGCGCCGAGGCGAAGGAGCGTCTAGCTGCGTTCAAGGAGCCGTGAAGGGAAGAAGGTGCATCATTATCGACCCCAACCAGACAGAGGTGACGCGGCGAGTCCACTGCCTGCCTACCTTCGTGACAAACAGCGAGGTCGAAGGCGCTCCTGCCTCTTTCGGCAGGATGAAGCAATCTACGCGGTAGAAATGGCGGGCATCAAACGGCGCATACGAGGTGCACAGCACAACGAGAAGTGTCATCCTCGTTCTCAGCTAGGGGGTCAACAAGGAGAACCTTCCTATCAGGCCTCTAATGTGTTGCTCTCAATGCCTGGCCGACCGCCGCTGTGTCTCCGCTGCAATGAGCTAGGGCACATGCGGAGGCAGTGCCAGGCTCCTTGGTGCTGCAGGGTGTCATGGATTCGGCCACGTCGAGATTGAGTGGGTGCCGACATACGCGGCAAAAGCCAGGGTCTAAGTGAACGCGGCCCCCGACGACGTGCTTTTGGACGCCGGTGACGAGGCAATACAGCCTGCCTCCACGGAGTCGCTGCCGCCGCACGACGCCGGGGATGCATCGCAGGATTCAGGCGATCATCCGGAAGTGATGGCAGGAGAGTTCGAGGTCAAGGAAGACAAAGAAGAGGTGGCACAGGTCGAGACGTCGTACAGCTGACAAACGGACCGGCGGCATCCGCAGTAGCAACCGGTTCAAGGCCGGCATCGAAGTCAGCCGCCCCTTCAGCGGAGGCAGCCGCTCCGTGCAAATCTCCCAACCGAGCGGCCCAAGTGCAGCGGAACAGCCCAAGGTCACCAGGGTCGCTAAACTCGTCAAGCACAACTTTGTGCCCGAAGTTTGCGGAACGCGCTAATTGGACTCTCGTGACGCTGACGTCGCGCCGAGCGAGGTGTCAATCATTCGAACGCTCATTTCTTTGAGAGAGGCAGAATGTAGCAAAGTTCATCGAGGCGCGCGTGCGGCGCGTGAGGGGCGCGAGGAGACCGCTGATTGAACGGCTTCGCCGATGACGTACCGCCCATTTGTCCCTACATCCCTACGCCAAGCTAAAATTAATGCTTTGCAGATTGTCCCTAGGCGACCTGCTGGCGCTCAAAATCCCTCCGAAGTTTGTGTAAAAAAGAAACCTCGTTTGTCGAAGTTGTCGCTGACGTCAAAGTGACGTTTCTGAACTTTGCGAGAGCCGTGGTTTGAGCTCGAGATCTTCGCTTCGGATCGAGGCGAAGTTGAACTTTGTCAACATGGCGGTGCCGTACGCTGCGGCCGAGATTATCTTACGCCACCGTCGGCGTCGCTACTGAGACCACCGGGGACGCCTTTCAACTCCCCGACGACGACATTCGGCGACAGTACCGGCTATCGAAAGCCGTTGAGCGTTGACTCTGCGACGAGCTTCGTTCGGCGCCCGGACCTCGAGGCGGCGGACAATCGCGTCTACCGGCCATGACCGTGGAACAACAAGTTTTCTGCGCGCTGCGGTTCTTCGGAACCGGTAGCTTTCAAGGCATGGTGGCGACTGACGAGCACCTGTCAGTCTCCCACATGACTATGAGCCGGGCTGCCAAAGTTTTTGCGGGGCCATCGTTTTTTTTTTTTTTTTTCTGTAATATCTGAAGAGGTACTAATAAGCTGGTATACAATTCAAAATGTTGGGAAACAAACAAGAACCGGGGTAATTCTTGGGTAGGGTTGAGTCTCCCGGCAGCCGGCAGAATTATTTCCCCGAAGTTCTACTGACAGTCGTCACTCATTGGCGGTCAAATCAGTTCATCGAACGACTTGTCATCAACAGGTCGTTTCATCGGCACGCAATGTAATCACATAAAAGAGATTTTTTTCCGTTAGAGGTATATACACATTAAACATTTTCACACCTTTATATGTGTAAGTGGGGTGTCCCATAACTAACACCTTAATAAGTGTAGCGATGGACCTTATGAAAGAAATGTAAACCTCACACCTTTAAAAATGTGTGATTTTTTAAACACGTTTCTTAAAACGTGTGATAATGCGCTACACCCTTTTATAAAGATGTAAAACTACAATACTCCTTCTCGTCAGGCTATACATTTAAGTGGGGTGTCCCATAACTAACACCCTAATAAGTGTAGCAAAAGACATTATAAAAAAAATGTAAACCTCACACCTTTAAAAATGTGTAATTTTTTAAACACGTTTCTTACAACGTGTTATAATGTACTACACCTTTTTATAAAGATGTGAAACTACAATACCCCTTCTCGTCAGGCACGTAGCCAGGGCGGGGGGGGGGCCATAAGGCCCGCCCCCCCCCCCCCCCCCTTGAAATTTTCCATTTTGCTGGGGTCTCCTCTCCCCCCTCCCCCTTATAGAGCACTTTGTCATGGGCTCCCCCCTTAAACACAATTCTGGCTACGTGCCTGCTTCTCGTCAAGGTGTAATTACCACAGTATATTTCTTTTTTTGGGGTGTACACAGTGGCCCGGGACCCAATATTATGACTGAACAAATAAATTACACAAACGAGTCGCCGAAACAGCACGTTGCTTCTTGGCGAGTGTCGTGGCAATTTCGGCCGAAAACCGGCTTCAATATTGGCCGGATGTACGGTTTTGCGCCTCGACCTGACATCCGGTAGGTATGGGTGTACCGATGCAAATAAACGATTTATGTCTGATAGCACTGGCACCACTGATTTCTTAGAAGGCTAGATCGCGGATAGAGGCCTGTATTGCTGGGGTCGAGCGGCATTACCGGCAGTCATCGCTTGACACGATCTTATACATGCTACAGGAGAAACGGGAAAACTCAATTTTATTACGTTAGTACACTCTAAATAAAAAGGGTATCACCGTACACACTTTTGTCCCATATAATACGCACCAAAACTTCATTTCGGCGTACAGCGCCCTATAGTCGAACAGACGGCCCCAACTTTACGAGGGGCTTGATAACGGTGCGATATAACTTATTAAATCGCTAAAGTACGTATCAAAGACCAAAGAAAGAAAACACGGAGTTTTTGCAGTAGGGCCAAGAAAACTCCGATAATCTTTTTTTTTTTAGTTGATATTACGTACATTGCCTACCTTAATAAGTTGTACCACACGGTTATCAAGCCCCTTGTAAACTTTGGGGCCGCCTGTTCCATTATAGGGCGCTGTACGTCGAATCGAAGTTTTGGGGTGTATTATATGGGACAAAGGGTGTAATAGTACACCTTTTTTTTCTAAGAGTGTAGGTTGTTCTCTACCATGAAACTTGTAACGTGTTTCCGCAAATAACAGTTAATATTGTGGACAAGAATATTAAACGCGTTAGAATACCAATCTTGTTTAACTAAATGTTGTGTGGTTGAGGGTCGAGGGCGACTTTGTTGGGCGTTAACTGTCATGTGTTTAATAAGACAAGGGCTACCGAGAGTTATTGTGGAGTCATCCGTGATTTCGGAGTCATCAAAGCTCAGCAAACGATAAGTTAGAAGGCCTTTACTGGGGACCTTCGCATCGTTTTGACCGCTTGTACATAGTACTTCATGGTGAAAGCTTTTTCTTTGAACTGCTGTGAAGGCTTCCGTGACAAACTGAAACTCGGAGCGTGCCGTTCAGTTGCTGAACGTGCCATTTATTTAGCAACCGAAGGAAGCGACGTCGGTAAATTCAATGGTGCTCCGGCCGATTTTTTCTTTAATCGATGTTCAAACGCTTGACGAATGTCTATTTGATCTCCAAGAACCCGACATAATCATCGCAGCACATCATAAAATGCTCGCCCTCGAGCACCGCGTACACGCTTCCAATTTTTGTGTTTCTCCCTTAGACTTGCGTGTATTGCCTCATGGTGTAATAGGCCAAAACAACAAGGACGAAAACGAAGGGAGAACTAGACAGGACGCGGCGTATTGCCTGTCGTCAAGCAATGGCCGCCGGCGAGGCCAGTGACGGGCTCCCGATTCGCGATCCAGACTTGCACTGTGAGAGTTCTAATGCATTACACCCGCGGAGTGCTGCACGGAGAACAGGCCCCGAACGAACTTGCCGAATGCACCGAGTGCAGACTGATGCTGTCGCCATAGATGCTGTAGAAAAGTACCGACCTCAAACTGAAACTAGCGCCATTTTGTTCGACGTGATGGGTGGGAATGCGAGAGTGCCCAGTCGCTGCCATCATTTATCTATAAACTTTGGTTGCTGCAACGTGGAACTTACATTTGCGATGACTTCCATTTAAGCAACTCGGCTGTCAGAGATATCTACAGACGGCGTTAAGTTTCCGAAACCAGCTGACTGCAAAACAGCATACACTTGAGAAAATTGATGGCACTGCACGCTCAAGGGCTTGCTTCGTTTTAAGCATAGTATTATGAGTGAACCACTGAAAGGATACGGCTTAAATCTAGTTCTTTGGAACATCTAGCAATACCTTTCGTAAAACTTTTTATTTCCCTGGTGAGGGCATTGAGAACGAGAGCTATCTCAAAACAAAATATGACGGGGCAAGATAGCTGCCGTTCAAATATGACTTTGCTTAGAGTCTCGGGCAACGTCTCCATGTTTAGCTTTCCCGGACGCTGAGTGAATGAGTCACAGGTTTCTGCTGTGGGAGCTTTGTCGAAAAATGTTCCACTTTTCACCCATACACAAATGATGCTAGATCTCGCGGCCTCTGTAGTTGTCCTGAGCCTTTCATTACACACTGGTAGGTCTCAGCGTCTGTACGGCAACAAAACGACTCAAATTTTGCAAATGAAACACGGGCCGTCGATTCCTCCCTTCGTCAAATATCAGACGCTTACAATTCAAGCTTGCGTTTTAGTTTGTGGCCCGCGGGACGCGATTTCGAGCAGAAAACCAACTTTTTCTTTCAGGTCGGTTGTGCGAATGCCGCATCGTAGCAGACGAACTCTCGTCGTCTGCTCTCGCTCCTTGCCTGGGCGAGGCATGACGGGATTGTCGGCGCTAGAGAGCACAAAGACAACGTATAGCGAGCGGCGTGAACGCTCGCCTCCCCGCGCTGTCTCGTGCTTTCGTGCACCGCCTAGGGATCGCGGGGGATTTTTCTTCAAAAGTTGCGAAGTTGAGCGCGCGCAGGGATGAGGAAACTTAGTGGCGTTCTTTTGGTCACTCCCCCCGCTACGTCAAAAAGCGAAGAATGTTTTGCTCCACGAGTTTAGCTATTCAAGTGAAGTCTACAACAGGAACCGAAGAAACGTAGTATTTCCCTCATTCTGATGAGCCCGCCCGTCTCATACGCCAAAACTGCCCTCTAAATTATTTGTGTGTGTGTGTGTGTGGGGGGGGGGGGGGGGGGGTTAGAGAAAAGGATAGTACGCTGCAGGTAAACCTTTTAGATAATAATGTGCAATGAGCGGAAGAGAGGTGGCAGAATTTTCATGAATGTGCTGAGTTTACGCTGAAAGTTTCATAGCTTTTCTATGGCTTACCTCGTACTCCCACAAAACGTAAAAAGTCATCTTGGTTCAGATTACACACGCGCTACAAACTGTTTTCACTTAAATGCCGTCTCGGCCAAAAATACAGCTACCGAACTAGATATGTATTTTGACTAAATTTATAGGTTATCTGACGCAGTTATGCTTACCGAAACCTGGTATACGGATGAGTCGGACGTATTTCCTTTACCCCTTTACCGTTCTTACTACTTAAATCGCGTTGCCAAACGGGGAGGAGGTGTGAGCATTCTAATGAAATAAGATATAATCTGTGAACTGCTGGATAAATACTGTTGCATTACTCATGATTATAAAATATTGTGCATTCGTAACCACCAAAATATTTTTGCTGTAGTTTACCGCCCTCCAGACGATAATGTTGAGTCGTTTTTTTTTAAGTTCTTTCATGCTTTTTTTATTTTTTTAGATGCTTTTTTGGTATTTACCAATTAAGGTAAATATAATTTCATCTGTTCTGGTGACTTTAAAGGGATACTTCAACGAAATTTGAAATATTCTCGTCGTGTTCAAAAATAGGTTGAATATGACCCACAATATCAGTAAATGACAATCGCACGTTTGTATTTTGAGCCTTCTGGCTGTATTTTTCGTTAAAAACGGCCCACTCTGGCAAGCGCTCGGAGAAGGCCCAGCGAAGACCACGTGACATCCAACTAAATCGTGACGTAGGTCGACTCAGGACAAGCAAAGCTACGGCGAGGCTGACGTTCAGGGGATGGCCTAGTCCAGGGGTGGCCAGGCTGATCCGGCCTAAGAGCCGCAAACAAAGCCACGATACCTCCAAGAGCCCCGGGGAGGGGGGGGGGGGGGGGGGGGGGCAAATGTTTGTCCATAGCAATAAACGAAACTCGAACTACTTTCAATCTATCCGAGTCAAAGGCAGTCCAACTGTACGTAGAGTAGCAGTAGCACAAGACTGCCAAATCGGAACCTGCCTTCGATTTAAAACGCGTTCCATTTCTCTTTTTGGGGACGTGCTTCTGTGACCGGCAGGGAGCCGGGTAAGGGGAGGGGGGAGGTTGGGGAGGGAGCCGCGAGCCGCACTGTAACATGGGAAGAGCCGCATGCGGCTCGCGAGCCGCAGCTTGGCCACCACTGGCCTAGTCGTTCCAGCCACCGAAGCGGCTGCTTTTGTATGAATTTTGAGTGAAGGGTTAATTTTCTGTAATCTTGTAGGGGGACAATAGCGACTTCAGCGAAACACAAAAGGCATTCTCGGGAAGAGGGGAGTTCCTCCTGCCCCTCTTCTCGCGTCGTGGCCGGAGGCGAGACAACCTCCGTCACTAGCTGTCAAGGTTCCTAGACGGGCATTACAAGCGAGGCGTTAGCGATATCCACCAGGTGCTCTTTGCTAATCGTTTAATTTGTTTTATAATTCCTTTTCGTGACTTTTTTAACAAGATAATGGTATGTTCGATGTGATGCTGCTCCTTTGAACACGTATAGACCAAAAAATGAGCGCCGAAATTTTGTTGTAGTATCCCTTTAACATAGATATTAGTGCAGACAAGAAAGTAAAAAGAGATATGATGTCGCTTATAAATAGGAACGGTTGTAAAAATACTATTACTAGACCAACCAGGAGTGCTTTGCATACAGAAACTACAATACACCTATTTATAGTCAATCTTCTACTTAGCGACATAAAAAGCGGAGTCCTTGCGTGTTATCTGAGCAATCATCTCCCAATATGTATAAAATCAAGAATATATCTCAAAACAGAACCAAAACACAACCTATATTATTTCAAAGCATTGCTCTAGATCGGTTGGATGCGGCTTGTGAGGATGTTACCAACACCGAGTGGACCGAAGTATTTAGTGACGACGACCCGATTGCTAGAAGTTTTATTTATAACATCACGCGATCAGAGGTAAAACAATTTCGGTACTTTGCTTATCTCAAAATTTCGCTTATCTCCAATTTTTCCCCGGTTCTTATGACTTCGAGTTGACGAGGTATTATTGTATATACAATTTATAGTATTATAGACTTAGCAATACATTCAAATTGGAAAGCTACGGAAACACGCGTTTTCTTACGAATTTGGGACATCTATCTGGTGAAGGAACCGGCTTACCCCACTCGTCACGCAGAACATTGGGAAATGGTAGCGCGGAGGACAAATTACAGCTCTTAGATGATTAGATATACGATGCCTAAATTGTTCAACCAGTTTGATGCCAGTTAGTTGGATTTGACTAGGATGCTATTTAAAGCAACTTAGAGAATATTTTGTAAGCCTAGATAGGTAAAATGCCAGTGATATGGCGGTTGGTTTAATATTTCTAGGATTATTCAATATTTTATTTGTGTGTTGTTTGCGTATATGATCCACCCGTTTTGTACTTTCGCAAGAAGTGGCATTTTTTTTTTTTTTGTAACTTTGCTGTTGTGCCTATGTAGGGGGTTGAAGGCCTTGTCAAACTGTATTTCACAGCTTGTGTCCTCGACCTCCACCATCGATGTAGATGGAAATAAGCGAATTATTATGTAAGTTTAGACACTGTACTTTTTTCTTTTTTTTTTGTGATATGCATATTTTTTAGGAGTGATCTCGCCCACACTTAATGAAAACCCCCCTTATACGTGTATAAAATATTTCATTAGATTTGAGAATACATGACACGAATGTATGCTGTGATTTATTCTTATATAAGTTATGTTATTACACTGCGGTAACAGACATGCCCGTCCCTCACGGGTCATGCACCACGCCCATTCGACCAGTTCGTGCCTTGGAAGACTCTGCGCTATTACCTTATAGGGTGTTGCAGATAAAGAAAAGCACCACAAGACCCGCCCACAAAGCTCCGTGCTCGGAGTAGTTTTTTTTTTTTTTTTTTTTTTTTTTTTTTTTGATTTGATTAAAGTGAGAAGAGTAGATTATTTTCTCGAAAAATGCTTTCCTGGTTTTATAAACCTTCAACAAACTTTAGTTGTGTCGCAAAATAAAAACTGAATTTTGTTTCCACAGCCACGTAGCCTAGTCCTTGTGAAATCACGTAGTGTAAAAATAAAATGCTAGGACGTCTCACGATTTAGTTGCGGAAAGTAAAATAGCTCCGATTTCTCCTTGCGGGGAAACTCTGCGTATTTCAAGATGATGAGACGAAATGTCTTTGTTATCCCAGGATCTAGATACGATTCAACTGGCCGGTATCGTGACTGGTGGTCTGAAGCTGTCCGCAGTTCTTTCGAAGTCCAAGCTGACTGCTTTCGTGACCAGTATTCGAAAATATATGACAGGGAAGCTAAAGAACACGTAAGCATAATTTTCAATCGAAGCGGCAAGAGATTGCGTGAAAGCTTGTAAGCACATTGAAAAAGAGACCGGGAAAAGTGTTGAATATGATATCGCCGAGGTGTTTTAAAGAAATACTAAGATGGTAATTTATCAGGACACAAAACAATTCCAAGGTTTTACTGATATACGTTTACTATTTCAAAAATTGAGGACTCTAAAGTAGTTCTCATCGTATTAATCGCTCGTAGTACAATTAATATGGTGAGGTCGTGGTTGTGCAAGCGTCGTCGGGTGTAGCAAACTGCCGATCGTGGCATACAACACATTCGCCCTTGCGCTGAGCTGCGATTGGACGTCTTGTACGTGGCGTCCCGATTTGAGCAATGTGATTGGAGCTGTTATAACATGTAGATGACGACGCAGGGGCAATGTTGGTCACCGAGAGTAATGTTTCGATTTCAGTTTGTTTTGAGCTGTAAATATAGATTGCGCGAGAAATAGTACAGTTTTAAGAAATTACGTAGCACCGTTTATTACTACCTCGGGATATACAGTATAATGAACCATTAACTCAAACTTCACTGGAGTTACATTTTTAACACAGTCTTATTACCGCAATCACCGATTAGCTGCAGCATTCACATATCAACGAACTGCTACAGAAAGGCTCGCAATATTGCCTGTTAATGGTTTTAATGCCGAAGACTCGGTGAAAGAAAGCACTGCAAAGGCTGGAGCGCGCGAGCGTCTTGAAACGCGGCTTGAGTCCCGCTCAGCTCGTGCGCTGGCTTTGGCAGTGCTTTCTTTTCGCCAGTATCAGCTGAGACGCTGTTTGTAGCAAGTCGGCCCCAGAGCCGTATATGTAGAGAGAGTGGCCATTCGTTGGGAAGTATAGGAGACAAATGAGGAGGCGCCATTGGCCGAAAGTGGGCGGGGCGTGTTCCACGCCGTCTTCAGAAATTCGAATGTGACCAACCAGAAGCCGGAAATAATACCCTGGCGGTGGTCGCGAAAAACAAACCTGATAACTGCATTGGATTAACCCTCAATGGCTGAAAATATGGTACACGTGATGTTTCAATCACGCTCATCCAAAATGATGGTGGAAGAGTGCGACTAGCGGAACGATCGACATAATCCGTACGCCAAACGGCAAGGGCCTGGAATCTGCCGTCCGAGCGGTCACACTCTGTCCGAGCAAAACAGAGTTGAGCGGCGCATTCGTTTCTTACATCTTTCTGCATGATCATGATGAAAACAACAGGTGCACCCTATTTTCAACCACAAAGAGTTACTACACTTTACTCTTACGCACTTATTAAAACCATATACGAACATAGACCTTCGATCAGAACTGTTTCTGGCTACCACCGCTAGGGGATTCTTTTCGGCTTCTGGTTGATCAAGAGAGTATGCCAAGACCTCTTTCCGAGTCTGCCGCACGCCCTGGCTCTGCCCGCACCTCCCATTGACCAAACTCTCTACATATACGGCTCTGGTCGGCCTCTGCTGCTCTCGGCGCCGAGGATCATGGCGCCGCCTTAGTCATCTACATCGTCGGCAGCCGCAACCTCGGCAGTAGCGAAATGTGACTCTCTACGCCAGTACACCGCAGACGAACTACGGGAGCGGATAGCAACATTCTTGCTTTCGCAATCACAGCTTATAAAAAGTACTTAGGTGTACTCAGTTCTTTTTTTTTCTTTTTTTTACGGAAATTTCTTTTGTCTTGTTCTACTTGTGACAGATTTCACTCGAATCTCTAAAAATTGTTTATAGAATAATCTAGTTCAATATTATAAAACCCATTAGATCTGCGTGTCATAAAACACACACCGAGCGCCTTTACCCCTTATAACGAACACATCATAAAAGGCCTTTAAGAGTGCTTCAACCTTGCGCACAAAATGCTTTTTGAATGCAAACCTTATTGACCACACTATTTCAGTGTACGTTTAAAATATAAATACATTAGTTGTATATTATGTGCCAGATATAAATTATTTTAATTCCGATTAAATAGAATCACACGAAGGATTCGCTGCAACAATATAGTTCTTTATGGCGTAAATATAGCCCATGTATTGTCGTGTTGAAAAGATGCGGCACTAACTGAAATTTAATGAAGTGCTAAGTTTGCAAGCATAAATATCTGGCGAGATTTTAATTTGGAAATGGTCTTGGATTAGGCTGATAATCAAATGAATTATTTTGGCTCGTTAAGTGTACCTAAAGTTCCAGGACATGTTCCAATTAAGATCAACCGTACAAAGTCACGTGCGGAATAACAATAAAAAAAGTTTGTTTGTTAACTTTAAACGAGTCAGTGCCAAAGTTATGCTCCCGCCGAATAAAAATTCCTTCGTATGATTGTTTTAACCGCTAAGATTTCCATTAGTCTTGATATCTCGGACTGCAGCATTACATGTAATTCTTCAGATTAAAAGCTTTTGTTTCATTTTGTCCGGTATTTTGGACTCTGTAAAAGTGTTATTTCGATGACGACTTATTTTTCGACTTATTTGTAACAAAACAATTTGTTACAAATAAGAGAATAGATTTAGTGTATGCAGCGTACTCTATAAAAATTGCGTAGTCTAAGACGTGTTTGTTTATACGAGGTGCAAATAGCCGCCTGTGTTGAAGGAAAGCTATTAACGACGACATCCCTCTACAAGAGGTTCTGGAAACTGACCATATCAAAATTTTTTTTTTTAAAGTGACTTAGCACTTTATTAGAGGGGAATTTTATTTTATATTTAGTTTAACGCAATATATGTGAGCACCGAACCAACTCATGATTGCAAATCAGTGCGCTGAAATTAAGACGAACAGTGTTCAGAACTTCTTACACTTCCTTTGGGCTAAATGCAATACGAAATGCTTCTATTCTACGTATATTTCCGCGTGCATGATCGAGAAGCTACGCTTTTCCGTTCATCCAGAAGATTCGCGTACATTCTTACCCCGAGCGTAAACGATAGGAGGTAAGAATGACCTCGCCTAATCAGGCTCGCCCTAGCTCTTGGTCCAACATTCTATGTGGCTACGTCGAATAGTAGATAAAGAGCCGTGCGCCGTATTGCCGATTTATTCGCTGATTCTTTCTCGCAATTGCCAACTGTTACGCGACGTACTGTACAATTGCCTCGCTGCTGCATTCTCGACGTGCGTTCTTTTCCGTTTTTGGCACAATTTAGCCCACAATAAATCTTTAGTTCATTTCATTTTCTTCTGCCTCTTTGTCTGTCATTCGTCACAAGGTGAAATCCATCTAGGCGGTGTCTATACAAGATTTCGGGCTTGCTCTGACTAATAGTTAGTAAATTGATCAGTTAGTTTAAGGGATAAAAAAACTTACGTGTAAACTAAAGCGCTGATTATGTTGAATATATTGATTTATTGCTTATTGTGTTTCTGCGCAGCTGCGTGGAGTCCGTACAAAAGTCGAAAATATTGCGGATAATGGTGGCATCCGAGCAGCTGTGAAGGTGGGTCTTTACATTTCTACTGGGCTTCATGCATGTCGAAGATTGTGAATAATAGTGGAGCTTGTAACAGACATTCAACATACATTTTTCATTAGTTATTTAAAAAAGTGGTGGCACATAAAATTGCAAACAAAGTTGTACCACGGTATGTTTTCAATTTCACTGGCAAAAATGATGTTGCGAAGAGTCATGAACAGAAAGCAACATCCACATAGATAGACCATTATTGAATTCGTTGTGCTAGGTTTACGTTTAGCCAAAAACAGCCAGCATGACACGAACAATTTTTCATTTTCAGGCCTTGAAAGCGATAATAAAAGAAACACCAGCCGCGGATGTGAAGCTTCCTGGCCTAGAGCAGCATTCATCACGCCAGCTACTTTTTATTTCGTTCGGAAATGTATGTATTGAAGTTAACGGTAACCTACATGTTATCTTGAGGTTGTACAGATGTAGGCTGTTTTATTTTATCTTGAACACTTTTTCTTAATCAAGCCGTGAAAGTTACATATAGCTATTTGTACAGGTGAGTTATACGGACAAAGGGGCCTCATTGTCCACTGTGAGACACATAATTAACTCAGTTTTGTCAATTACCTTCATAAGTTGAGAAAATAAACACTGTCCGAACTAGAAACTTCCTGAACCTATGGAAAACCACTAAGCAGTGAAGTGCAGAAATACTTGGAGCGCGTGTGAAGCGCGGTGGTGCGCTAAAGTTACCACCTTTGCTAGAGGCGCGAGGATGGCAGTGTAAAAACGCGTATGATAAGAGACGTAAAAGCCGCGCGGTTTCGTCCAACTTTGTTGCGTTTTCGGGAAACAAAAATTAGCACGCGCGTCAAATATTTCTCCAAATTATTAATTAATTGGCTATTTTGGATTCGTACAGTTTTCAATTCAAACCATAATGTTTTTAATGTCAAAATATATTTTACAAGTTGGATATGTCTTATTGGGATTATTCGTCCTTCATAGTTTGTTCCCCTTGCCGCATTACTAACCTGTACAAACCGTATTATTGTATCATTTAAGATTTATTTTAGAAAAAGTATTTTGCGACAAAGCTGAAATCGCTCTATAATAAGTATGCGTGTGTGATAACGGGAGTCACTGTACCTGCAAATATTAATTTTATACAAAATATGGAAGGTAACACAGGATCGGACCCTTCTCTGTGTTAACTTCCTTATTGTGGATATGGTTACCAACACGCTCGTTTTGTACTTAATTGATTGTATTATTTTTAATTCAGTGTTTGGGGTAGATGTATTACATTGCGCATAATGGATAGTGTTTAATTATATAACTTATATTCCGTGAATTTAGTCTCTATGCAGCAAATACACAACCAGAGCACGGAAGCAATATATAAAAGTTAATTCTCACAGTCTTCCAGAATTTAGGTAAGTGAATATTTTAACTACCGCTACTTCTGTTGTCCTCGTATTAGGTGCGTTAGTTTTACTAATCTTTTCTATGCGTTATTTCTTTAATTTAGATTATAGCTTTTTGAGAACAATATAAGTAAAAGAATAATTTTTTACGCCATCCAGGATTTCATAAGCTGATAACCACGGGACATTTTTTTGTTTTTGTTTTTGTTTTTATAAAAATTGTTAGTGGCAACGCTCTTTGCTTATATGCATTATTTTCTTGTCGTGGATTCTTTGGCAACAATCGCAGTTTCGACAAAGCCTGCTGAGCATTGCTCACAAACTTGGCTGACCGCGACTTCGCGAACGTTAACGAGCAATTGTTTAATTTATTATTATTTGTTGGAGACCATGAGGGCATATACTGATGTGTCGACCATATGGTCCGTGGCCGCTTTTCAGTTAGTCTTTGTAATCGCAAATCGTGGTTGACTCCAGACGAATTCCATCAGCTCACAATCTTCTCCAATCTATGATAATCGATAATAGACCATTATGTATTTCTATTGATTAATTTATTCGTGTATTAAGTAACTAAGTTATTCAGAAGTACCATTAGGGGCCCTGCTAGCATTGCAAGGAGAAGGGATTGGTTAGTGCAAGGCGAAGTCATCTGGGAGGTCATTCCAGTATATGATAATTTCGGGTAGGAGGCAAGAGTGGTAGGCATTGAATTTGGTCATTCTGTCTTGAGTCGGGAAATCGTTCACGAGTGGTTCACTCTCGAAAAAACGTAGGTGATCGGGCTAAGGAGAGATCGTATCAGAGATGGAGAGTAATACACTCTACGGAGGTGAAAATGGCGAACAGTTGGGCAACCCACTGAAGTATCAGATTGGGTTACTTGTAATTTGATTGTAGTGACACTAGAACAAAAAAGTAACCGGACATTTGCGATACTTATGTGAGACTGAAAGTACCGCAATTTTATTGCAAAGAGTCTAGAGAGTGACGGCATCTGTTGTAATGTATATCATTCATTGTAAAAATAGTTATAATTAAATTATACTTATTCGACAGTTAGAAAATATCAGGTATAATTTTAAAAGCAGGTAGCAATGTACAAGTGAAGGTCATTTCATCTTGTTTCACACCCTCGTGTTGCTGGCGACATAGGTTCGGCAGTACGTTGCATATTAAGGTCACTGTTCCTTCGCATACATAAAAGTTAAGGAACCGTCACTTTTTATTATTCAAGGGTTACAACTGATATCTTAAGGACGGTGGAAGTTATATTTTATACTTTAAGCCTTCGGAGTGAACTCTAACCTCGCTTCCTATTGGGATGAACTACGTTGTTCTGTCAAAAATGTGCTTCTTTCTTATAGATTATGAGAAGAATTACGTTTTTGATCTGGGGATCACGTTGACTATCAGTATTCTTTTTCTAAAAATAATGTTGTATTTTTTCAAGCGGAGAGTGTAATCTAGTTTAAAAATGTGGACCTCAAATATCGCGAATTTAAAACGGGTAAATACGCTCGGCAGCGACACGTTATCAAAACTAAAATGTTTTCAGCCTTTAATTGTTTACACGGAAGGGCACGGAACACATTATACGCTAAGCTGCTGTAGCAACCTTAAAGCTTTATTATTTAGACTACTTTTCTTTATATATACATTTTTGCCCCCCTTTCAGCTAGGTCATCATAGTCACTGCAGAAATTATTAATTTGTGAAGGTCATTATTCTGTATTTTTCAGACTCTGCAGAGGTATAAAACCTAATTTAAGTCGGAAACTGGCGAGCACGTTACGTTCCCCTCTTCTTCCGTTGCTCTAAGATATTGTTTTTTACTTTTTACGTCTGTGTTCGATTACCAAGCTTACAACAGGGGGCCTCATTGCCGACGAGCAACCAGACAAGAGGAAACTTCCCCTCAATTTTTTTTTTTTCCATTCGAGAAAGGAGATTCTCCATTCTGCGGGAACTAGCTCGGGGACTTTTTTTCGGAAAGTTGAAATGCAAACGCGCGAGAGCCGACAGGTAATGGAAAGGACACTTGAAAAGTGCTTTCCCAGGAAGAAGACGCTTCTGTAGGTCAGCCTTTAACAAAGCAAGAGTAAAAAATGGTACTTCGGATGACATTCTTTTGTAAGATGTTTAACTGCAACATTCGCATAAAAATAAAGTATTTCTTTTTTACTATAGGTTTTACAGTTCAAATGAAATTTAATACTTAAGGCTATTCTGCTGCTGCACTGATCTCTTCAAGAACATTTTTTCGAGAATACTGAATTAATACACTAAGCAAATTTATCGGCTAATATTGTGTCAAACGGAAGATTCTATTTGGAACTGAGTAGCCTGTTGTCCCTAGAAGTTTTACCTTTATTTCGAGATTTTTTATATTATGTTTGCCCTAATGTATATCTTCATGGTCCTGCATGCATTAAACTAACTGAGTAACAGAATTCAAATTAGACGGCAATTCATTTTACAGTGAAGAAAACACCAGCATCACAATATAAAAATGAAGCAGCGGGTGGCACTCAGTTCATCGAACGATGTTTCAGCAAACACCGTTTTAGCAAAAGCGCCGTTTTAGCAAACGGGGGATGGGTTAACGCACACCCCCATTATTCGGTAATATGTCAATTCGGCCACACGACACTGCTCGCTAAAATGTCATTTGCTCATGTAATATAGAACCTGAAGCAGCAATGATAATATCGGGCTATGGCCGAGACAGGTTGTATGGGATAAGGACCCTCTGTTTAATATCTAGTGGTATTGGGTTTAACTAGCTCTCAGGCTCCCAACCTTTATTACGACCTACAAGGTATAGCTTCGAAAGCCTTTCTTATCCAGAGGCCAGATTCTCAAAGCGAACTTACGACGAAAAAAATGCGTACGACAAATTTGAGAGAAAATCCGTATTCTCGAAACGAAATTGTCGTAACTTTTGCGCAGGTTACGACAAAATCCTACGACAGCTCCGAAGCTGTCTTACGCACTTTCTACGATCAAAATAACATGGCCGACAACGTCGCTCAGTTGCTCGGTCGCGACGACCCAATGGACATTTATTTTTCTACCTGCTCTTCTTGCGCGTCCCGACTTCAAGCAGCAAGAAAAAAATGAAGAAGTACTTGAAACCGACCACGACGAACATGAACGCTGGATCCACAGACACCCGGAAAAGGCAACAAAGGCGACGATCCCACCGACCAAGCGAGCTCGGCAGAATATATAGGCCTAGCAGGCACTCCGACCCGTTCCGGCGCAGCATTGCTCAGACGGTCCTTGGCCAAGACCGTCTGCCCACGACCGGCTGGCTTGCTGAATGGAATATGCCCGCGCGACTCTTGTGGACCCTCCCCGTATGAATAGTTTGATAGCTGAACTAAATTTCAGAGGTCAACCGATTCCCCTTATCATCTCGATCACCTTGTTTTCCGAGGCAGCGGTGACGAACGCTGTCGTCGAAAAGGGACTCCTCGATTCTATCTCCTTGTTTTGTGTGATATAGAGCTCAAATAAACGCCGTATGGATTACCTTCGGAACACGGTATGTACACTTTGTTATTAGTATGCCATTTTTAACTGTCGAGCTGTATCAGTTTGTGGGAGCTACGCGATGCCGGTCCAACCTTTCTTTGCCGAGTGTCACGTCAGTATCGAGTTGCAATCGTAGAAGATCGGTCCCGAAGCGCTTACCAAAACGCAGTCTGAATCCAGCACTTCGATCAAACGCACGCGTCCGCTCCGAGTGTGAACAGGTATTTGCGCGACTCTTGCTGACACTCTCGTAGTTCAAACCTATCTTTTTTAACGTCGGCTCACTCCTGCATTTCCGAGGCCGCGAGAAACGCCGCGGCGGTTTGTTTCCTTCTACGTCGCTTTGCAAACGACTGGCACGGGGCTTTTACCAACGATGACAGTTGTGTTGACTTCGTAGCGATCGAGTTTGTAGCAGTCAACGAAGCGTTTAAATCGTGTTAGCGTCAATATACCACTGCACGGACACGAACCCCAGACAAGCGGTGGTGGAAAGGTCGCCCGTGTTTATGAGAATCAGCTTGAACACTACACATTTACACACAGACAGGACAGGACATACACAGAGCTGTCTGTCAACGAGTCGTTAGCCTGTGTTTGTTATTAAAAATCCACGTGCTCCGAACTATGACTAGCTCTCTAATTGGTTGTTTGTTCTGCCGAAGACGCCGTTGGCATAGCAACAGCACCGGAAGTCATCGTTTCTCCGTAAGAAGTCGTAACTTTCCTCCTCTCACTTAAGAACGCGTTTGTGAATACCGTTTTCGCCTCATCTTACGATGATCGTAACTTTACGAACTTCTTAGCTAAGTTGCCGTAGGTAAGAGGTTTTTTATGAATCTGGCCTCAGATTTTGGAGACATACTTCAAAATGACATGGCAAATGCTTGATAGTCCGTTTTAGAAAGAAATATTTTGGTTAAATGTTTACGAATCTTGGATGCCCTACATTTAGAACTACACCTTTAACACAACTCGTTGGTGCAGGTCATGTAAGAAGAGTTTGAAGTACGTGCTGCGCAACTGAATTTTCGGCTTTATATTTCACCAGTATGTTTGTTTGTTTTCTAGGTTAACGATAGCTTTGCAAAAAAAAAACTACATTAAAAATGTTCTGATTACGCACAGTAATAAATTACAGCAGACATTTTAGCTAAATACATCGATTACAAAATATATGACCGATATTCGAAACAAGGTATTAATAATTTCAGTCTAATTGTGATGCTCGTGATGCGCTGCAAGGGTACAAGAAAACAGCTGCTGCGATCGACTAAGTAAGGCCATTAGGGTGTAAATATTCAAAGCATAATTTTATTTTATAACATTACAAGGCTCCAAATATACCTTGGATATTTTGTATTGGTCAACTTGAACCTGTGTAGATAGAGGAAGAGTTAAATGAAGAAAAGACACCAGCTAACATCAATCTCTCCGTTTAATTCTTCCCCTCTCTACACAAGTTCAAGATGACTAATACGAAGTAATTCAAGCCCTTACCTTAAATACACTTTCCATAACACTTGTTTTGTGTAATTACAGAGTAAGCGTAGAATACTTGTGTGTATCTTATTTGTCTCGTACGTCTAGCCTCAATAAGTAGGTTTATTACTGTTCAAGGGACCCCTTTTTTTCGGGGGACAACATTGAACGGAAAATTTTAAAACAAAAACTCAACCATGTTGTTTTTGTCTGTGCATCCAGATCGCGTTTAATCACGAGTCTTTTTTATTTTAGTACTTATTGTCATTATTCATATTTAAAAACAACATTAATTTAAAGCTTCGAAATAGCGTTACTTTCTTTCAATACAGCCAGTACATTCTTGTTCACGATTACTCTCTTTTTTTCAGAGTTAATGTGTCCCTGCAGAACTGCAACGCATTTCAAAAGGCTTTCAGGTGTATGCCAGGTTCTCCCATGGCTCCTAAAAATAAATGCATTTTGTGGTAACAACTTATCATGCAGTCTATTTTACTTTATTAAATTATATTAAAACAAAGTTAAAGAGAGCTACACTTTAGCTAGGCTGTACTACTTTTCATATTGCCGCGTCTTTATCGGAGCTAGAAATGAACGCCGCAACAACGCGGAAGGAACTATGTGCTTCGAACCCCGCACGCCTATACTTCGTTCTACTTTTAAGGAATACCAATACCCCATAATTGGTCTTTTTTTTTTACAGCCTTAAACGCTCCGAAATGGTGTCAAATCAATTACTTAAAAAAAATTGCAACGCGAAAAAAAAATTGTTGTGCAGACGCGTTTTTTAAACGAGCTCGCCCTTCTCCACCTTACCTTCCTGCAATTGTTTTTCTGATTACTTGATGCGACGTAATTGGTGGTTCAATAGGCAGAAATATTGAGGTTTCAAGTTTTGATTTTTATAACATTTATTATGGCGTGTGTAGGCCTTTTTCGCTTACTCTCGCCTTCAGCCGCCAATTAGGCTTATCCGGTATTTGTAACAACAAAAAAATAAAACATTTCAACTTGCCAAAAGAAAAACAATAAAGGGGTGACAAAACGAGAATGGGTGACGGTTACGCTTCTATCCTAAATGCATTACTTTGGCGTGGCGACGGCACAGCAATGTTTTCGCCCATAATGGAATTGACGATACTTCAAGATGGCGACACCCTTGTGAAAAAGGTCTAGAAACCATGCTTTGTACAACCTTGGCTTGCGCACGACGACGCTGGTTTCGAAATGTAAAAATAAAATTCCGGTAGTGGTATCGTCATGAGGTCAACGCCTCAATATCGTCTCCTGTCCTCTCATTGTCATATTTCCTTCGGTCTCTCAAAATGACAACGTCCGACGGTTTTGCCGGAAGTGAGTGCAATCTTAGCAACGGCTGAGAAGAGCGAGTGTCTTTTTCCGTACCAGACGACCTTTCGTACTTAGGGAGATGGTAGTTGAACGTTCACGGACGTTGGGTCCTGTACCGCGCGAGACGCTGGATCGAGTGCCGGGAGATCGCGATAAGGACGCTGTCGGGTCGTGGTACTCACACCCGCTTCAAATTTGTAACTCCTCGACAACGCAGACTGTTATGGTTGCGTTGCATGCGGCCGAGTAGTTGTCCTGCAGGAAACGTCTTCCAGCAACGCCTTCCTTTCCGTTTTATTCTTTCGAAGCTTCATAGAGCAGCACTTTCGGATATGCCAGTGCTGGGACAGTCCCTGGTGCAAACACTGAAGCGACATCGCCCCACACGTCGCATATTAAAATCCGCTGCACTTCGCCTTCCACTGTCCCGCTTCGGACCAGCAATTAATCGAAACTCGGAACGGACGTTCCTCGTCCGCCCACGCACGCACTGGCGCTGCGGAGCGAAATCCGAGAGCTAGTGCCTCATGGACGAGGAGAGAAGAGGAAAAGATGCAGGACACTCTCGCTTGAAGACCGACGACCAGTTCGCGCTTTCCACTTTTCACCCACTTCCTTCTCTCCCCCCTTCTACCCTGCCCACTGTTGCCCGTTTCCTCCTCCCCATGGTGAGGGGGATCTTCTGCCTTGCAGAATGTCGAGTCTGGTCGTCGGCCTTTAAGCGGCAGGAAAAAAAAGGAAAAAAGAAGAGGGCAAGGAAATGCTCCAAGCCATTCTTGACATCACCGAGGAGCACGGGAATTTCAAATACGGCTATCTCAAAATATGTGTTTTTTTTTTTATATGTCTATACTTTGTTTTCAGGCTCCAAATGTTGAGGGTGATGCCTCAGTACCATGTACAACTGTTCGGAATATAATATAAACATATATATACAGGGTCCGATCGAAAAAAGTAAACCCTACTTTTCGGCCCGCATAAAAAAACTACGCATCGCAGAACGCTCAAACTTCGCCAGAATGTAACCCTAGCGGTCCAATCAAGATTCCTAAGTTTCAGAACATGAGCTTACCTGAATCAAAAGAAAAAAAACGAGAAATCTCTACGGGGAGGCTCCGACCACGGAGAGACGCAGACGGAGGCCGTCTGCTTCGCGTTGCATCGCATAGGTGGCGCCACCACCTATGCGGGTTGGCGGGTTATCACGGGCATCTGCCGGGCTTGGCGGCGAATTCGGAATTGTTCGCTATCATTTCTGAAATTTCACTTACGCACTGCTTTTCACTGCAACGGAAATAAAGATTACACGCTCTAATTTGTGATACCTTGGTGCATTTGCTCGGGCATAACATTTCTTCATGCTAATTATTTTAGCAGATGTCGTTTGCTTTGCTCTTCGCAAACCCGAACACCGGTTCTCCCGTTGATTACTTTTAATCTCTACCGTGTTTCATTGCACTTTCCTGCCTGATGAGGTGATTAACCCAAAAGCAACGCTCGGACGTCGTGGTTTGGTATTTAAAGCGCAAAAGCTTTAAGGATGCTCGCCGCCGATACCGTCGAGTGCACCGTTCCAGGCCGCCGTCAAAAAGAACCATCTGGAAGTGGGTCCAGCGTTTTGGCGCAGTGGGCAGCGTCGCGAACAAGAAGCACGTTTTCGCCAACACGCCAGAGAAAGAGCAGCTCGCGTACGGGATCATGGGTGCTTTCGAAGCGGACCCGCACCTGTCCGCGAAGAGAGCGGCGAGTTTGTTTGGAGTTTCAGATTACACTGAGCGCCGGATTCTTCGCCGACACAACCTGCATGCCTACAAGGTTCACGTTCTCCACGAGCTGAAGCCTGAGGACTATGCAAGACGGCTCGATTTTTGCCGCGAAGAGATCCTAAGGATCGCGGCCAAACCCTCCCATCTGGACTTCCTTTTGTTCTCGGACGAGGCCGTCATTCACCTCGACGGAAATGTCAACGCTCAGAACTGCCGGTACTGGAGCAACGGCAAACCGCACTGGACATGGGAGAAGTCTGTGTACTCTCCCAAGGTACGGAGACTTCTCCATTGAGAAGTCTCCGTACCTTGGGACGGAGACTTCTCAATGTCTGTCTGACAACAACACCCTCCCTCCAGATCTCGCACCAGACAGTTGAGAAGTCTCCGTACCTTGGGACGGAGACTTCTCAACTGTCTGGTGCGGGATCTGGAGGGAGGATGTTGTTGGGCCTTTTTTTTTTCGATGAGTCTGTGACGGGCAGAAGTTATATGCGCATGTTTGAGTAGGAGTTTCTCCCCGAGCTCGAGGCCCTCCACATGCAACGACAAGTTTGCGTAATCATGCAAGATGGAGCCCCCCACACTGGTGGACCTCCGTCAGGAAATGGTTAAGTGACACCTTTCCTGGACGCTGGATGGAAAGAGGCTCGCCCAGCACGCCATGGCCACCGCGATCCCCTGACCTAACAATTAGTGATTTTTTGCTATGGGGGTTCATCAAGTCACAGGTCTACACCGACCGAATCTCCACCCTCAACATCCTCAAGCAATGCATTGAGGCTGCCTTTCTTCTCATTACGCACGAAATGAGGGCTGCGGTGTTTGCCGAATACGAGGCGAGACTTGGACGTTGCACCTGGAAGCTGGGAGGTCACGTTGAGGCAGAACCGTAGGACTACGGTGTTGCCTTCCAGTGCCTGCCCCTGACGCACTCCACATACCTTCATCTGGAAGCAAGAATAGCTTCCGCCATGTGTGCGTTCTTTTCCCGTTTTTATTTTGTTTACCTCTGACAAATGGCCCTTTTTAGGGCTGCCAATTACGGTTGTCGTCTGCTGAGCTACTGCTGCTCGGCGCTCTCCCGTGTCTCTCATATCTGGTGTCTCCGGACCATGCAAATGGTGAACCTGGTTCTTTGACGGTGCAGCTTAATTGTCCAGCATTTAATCTAAATACCTGCAAATCAAAGGTACTGAATTCCTTTAATAATACTAATAATAATAAATTTGATCGTGTTCGAGACTCGGCATAATGAGTAAACCGGGTCACAAAGTCGCTGACTTGGCATCTTCTGCCTCTCCCTTTTTTAATTTTCATTGTCATCAAAAAACAGAAAAAAAAGAAGAAAGAACCAAGTACGCAAACATAAAAAACGGTACAGAAGTTAAAAAAGGGAAATATATCGGCCCAGCTGAAGTTCATCTGCAACCGAAAGGAGGCTCCTCTGCCGGCGGAGCCCAAATATTGTAACTTTAAAAAAAAATTAATTAGGTTATAAACGGTTTATTGGCAGTGAGCAGACTTGGCCACTAGAGGAAGCTACCACGTCCATACCGAACTTCACATAATCTGCAGCACCAAGTGTTGAATGTGCTACCGAACGGGAAGAATAGGTGCGCCGCGCCGTTCGTATTTGCGAAGAGCAAAGCAGACGACATCTGCTAAAATACTTAGCATGAAGAAATGTTATGCGTGTGCAAATGCACCGAAGTATCACAAATTAGAGCGTGTAATCTTTATGTCCGTTGCAGTGAAAAGCACTGCGAAAGTGATACTTCAGAAATGATAGAGAACAATTCTGAATTTGCCGCCAAGCCCGGCAGATGCCCGTAATAGCCCGCCAATCCGCATAGGTGGTGGCGCCACCTATGCGATGCAACATAAAGCAGACGGCCTCCGTCTGCGTCTCTCCGTGGTCAAGGCCTACACTATACTATCACCAACTAAACCAATCGCCCACAAAAAAAAAGCACGATGGCGGCACATTTACACTGCATGATTGATTTAGTCGGGGACACCAGACGGACAAATGCGGTATGAGCTCCGTGACGATGCACATTCGGCGCTGATTGATTGGTGGCTCCATCGAGTGGTAGTGTAGACTGCGGTCGGAAGTCAAATAAAAATCAGTATAGTTCTGTTTCATCTTCGGCTTGCCTCCCGGAATGCTCCAGTAGAATCTCCTAACCGGACAGGTGCTTACGTCTGGAATGTTTTAACGCGATGGCGATTAGGATCTCGTGTCGCAGAAAATCCGATGTCGGCGTCAGTGGGACCGTAAAATCCCCTAATGCAACGCGCGCAGCCCCGTGTGACATCATACGACGCCATGTGACATCACGTCACACGTGA